GACTCGCTAATTGCCAGTGTCCTCTCTGTCGGGAGTGGAGAACAGGGAGAGCCTTCCCGAAGGGCCACATTCCCGAAGGATTCCAGTTTTGATGCGTTCAGAAGCCCCTTCACCATTCTCAAGCCAACTGATGTGGGAGGGGGGCCGGGCTGTCTTCCCGGAAGGTCTGCCCCACCCCGACCTCAGAAGCCCGTTTTCCTCCAGAGTCCCGGTAGTCCCTACAGCCCTGGCTCTGTGGCCCACATTGGCTTCGGTTCCAGCTCTGGCTTGCCTGGGCCCAGGAGTTGGAAGCGCTCCTGGTTTCCTGCTATTCTGTTTCTTTTCTTTTTTNCACTGCACCGGCCAAAACAGCGGCGTTATGATTGATGGTGCTTTTCTGACTCTGCACCAAGAACCACCGCACCAAGGCAGTGGCAAAACTGCCTCACCGGCCATGGCGACCCATGGGGCTTCTCCACTGGGAATCTCCTGGTGTGTGAGCAACAAAAATTCGTCTGAAAGTGTGGCGTCCTCTCGTTCTCTGCTTTTTCACTGCGAGCTACAATCCCAAGCTGCTAGTGATCAGCCATCTTGGATCTCTCTCCAAGACTCAATCTTGTTAGTGGCTGCTTGGATTTCTCAGTTTGGCTAGACCTTGATTTATTTAACCGTTCCCCTCTGATGGGTGTCATTTTTAAAGGCTTTGATGTCACAAACAATACTGCTGAATGTCCTCACATGGACTCCTTTCTTCCCACAGTTGGCAAACCTTTCTTAGGACAGAAGTGACCTGGCTGTCTTGGAGGAGATTCTGAGACCGCTGCTGCATCGCTCTCCCCAGGAACTGTGTTTCCACGGTCCTTTGGATGCTCTTAAATTGTAGTGAGTGCTGGCTGTCAGCCAGAGCCTGGGGGTGCATGGTGTCCAAGGTAGGCCCTGCCCTAGGGCAGCTGCAATCTTTGAGTCCTATGAGGAGATGGTTCCAGAGCCAGGGGCTCCAGTCCTGGGGTCAAAGGGCAAGTTCAGGGAAGGCTTCCTGGAGGAGTTGATGTCCAGGCAGAAACCTGCCTGCTGAATAGCAGCTTGTCAGGCAGAGGAGCAAGTGGAAGGGCTGCTCCAGCTAGAGGGGGACTTGGCCAGCTGAGGCCCTGAAAGAGCCAGGGCCTTCTATGCACCTCTGAGTAATGGTGCTCCCTAAATGCTCACCACAGGGGCTGAAGGGAGTGGCAGTGGGTGGGGCTGACAGGAAGCTGGGGCAGCTAAGGAGTAGGAATGTTGCCAGAGGCAAGTGAGAGACTTGATTACACACCCAAGGAAGTGAGCCACAGGCTGGAGCGGAAAAAGGACCCCTGCTGGGGATGGAGGTTGGGCAGGAATTCACACCTGGCAAATGCCCCCCAGGACCTGGGTTCCATGTGAGGGGAGGCCCCTCTTCCTCTCTTCCTTTCTTCTTTCCTTCTTTCCTCTCTCCCTTCCTTCCCACCCTCCCTCTTTTTCTCTCCTCCCTTCTTCCCTTCTCTCCTCCTCTCCTCCCTTCCTCTCCTCCCTTCCTTCCTTCCCTCCCTCCCTCCCTCCGTCCCTTCTTCCCTCCTTCCCTCCTTCCCTCCTTCCTTCCTTCCTTCCTTCCTTCCTTAATTAATAGACTTTCTAAAAGATCAATGTTAGGTTTACAACAGAAAAATTGAGCCAAAGTACAGGGAGTTCCCATTGACCTCTCTCCAGGTTAACCACCATTTGTCCTATGGGTAACTTGGTGTGAGCATGTTACAGCTGACAACCAATGCTGACATACACAGACCATTCACTAAGCTCCGTCATTCACATCAGACTTCACCCTTGGTGGTGTACGCTCTATGGGTTTTGACAAAGGCATAATGACATGTCTCCACCATTACAGTAGCCTACAGAGTATTTTCATGGCCCCAAAATTCCTTGTGCTCCTCCTACCCCAATCTTTTTTTTTTTTTTTTTTTTTTTTTTGAGACAGTCTCACACTTACCCCAGGCTGGAGTGCAGTGGCTCAATCTCAGCTCACTGCAATCTCAGCCTCCCAGGTTCAAGCAATTCTCCTGCCTCAGCCTCCGAGTGGCTGGGATTACAGGCCCCCACCACCACGCCCAGCTAATTTTTTGTATGTTTTTAGTAGAGATGGGGTTTCACTATGTTGACCAGGCTGGTCTCAAACTCCTGAACTTGTGATCTGCCCGCTTCAGCCTCCCAAAGTGCTGGAATTACATGAGTGAGCCACTGTGCCCGGCCAATCTTTTTACTGTCTTTATAGTTTTGCCTTTTCCAGAGTGTCGAATAGTTGCAAATATACAGTCTGCAGCCTTTTCAGGTTGGCTTCTTTCACCTAGCAATGTGGAGTTAGGGTTCCTCCTGGTGTTTTCATGGCTTGATAGTACATTTCTTTTTCTTGTTGAACAATATTGTGTTGCATGGATGTACCCAGTTTATCTATTTCTGAAGGATATCTTAGTTGTTCTGAATGTTTAGCAATTATGAATAACACTGACATAAACATTCATATGCAGTTTTTTTTATGGACATAGTTTTCAACTCATTTGGGGAAATACAACATTTGTCTTTTTGTGGCTGGCTTACTTTGCTTAGCGCAATATCCCCAGGTTTGCTCCGTGCTGTGGCATGCGCCCTTTCTTTTCAAGGTTGATTCATATTTCATTGTCTATAAATACACACCGCTAGCTATTGACTATTTAAATAAGATCCTGCTTTCAATTCTTTGGGCTCTATTTCAGGAAATGGGATTGCTGAATCATATGGTAATTCTATTTTTAATTTTTCAAGGAAGCACCATACTGGTTTTTCCACAGAGGCTTCACCAACACTTCTTATTTTCTGGTTCCTCTTTTTTCTTTTAGTAGCTATCTCAATGGGCGTGAAATGATACCTCATTGTGGTTTTGATTTGCATTTCCATGATGATGAGTGATGACTCTGAGCATCTTGTCACATGCTTCTTGGCCATTTAGATATCATCTTTGGAGAAACGTCAACTTAAGTCCTTTGTTCATTTTAAAATCACATTCCTTTTTGTTGCTGAGTTGTAGGAGTCTTTATGTATTTTGAATATTAACCCTTTATCATTTATATATTTGCAAATATTTTCTCCCAGTCTGTAGATTGCTTTTCCACTTTATTGATTGTTTCCTTTGGTGTACAGATTTTTTTTTTTTTTTTTTTTTTGAGACGGATTTTCGTTCTGTCTCCCAGGCTGGAGTGTTGTGGCTCCATCTTGGCACACTGCAACCTCCTCCTCCTGAGTTCAAGTGATTCTCCTGCTTCAGCCTCTCAAGTATCTGGGATTATAGGTGCCTGCCGCCACACCCAGCTAATTTTTGTATTTTTAGTAGAGACAAGATTTCACCATGCTGGCCATGCTGGCCTCGAACTCCTGACCTCAAGTGATCTGCCTGCCTCTGACTCCCAAAGTGCTGGAATTACAGGCATGAGCTACTGCGCCCAGCTAGTTCCTTCTACTTCTTTTCCTTTGCCTCCTGACATGGCCCCGATGGCCTGTCACTGTCCCCTTTCCTGTGGCATCCATCCTCCTCCTCGTCGTACCTGCCTTGTAAGGCAGCCTTCATGTTCACTCCTGTTGTAAGTTAGAGGTAACTGCAGCTCAGAAAGGCTGCGTAACTTGCCCAAGGTCAAATAGCAGCAAGAGATGGAGTCTGGGCCCAGAGCCAGTGCGCTGTCTTTTGGCATCGCCTTCCTGGAAGGGCCAGGCCCGCGCTGTCCTCTCTGCCCTGCACTGTTTTAGTTCATACAGCTCACTCTTGGCCCGTACTAGGTACTTGTCTTGCTTTCTAAGAGCAGTTCTTTATCGATTCTTTGGATTTCTACTGAGTTCCTCCCCTGTGCCAGGCCCAGGAGACAAAGGCAGAGGCTTCGCTCAAGGAGATCATGGTCTGGGAGACAAGACTCTTCCTGCATGTCCGCTGAGTCTTCCCAGGCAGCCCGCAGGCCTCCCAAGGGGCAGAGGCCGTTTCCTGCTTCTCCTGCAGCCCACCCGGCGCTGGTGACCTCCTGGTCCCTTCTCAGGGAACTGCTGCTGCTGCTGCCTTCATCATGAAGTGGGGGCTGGGCAGGCCTGACCCAGCCGGCTATGGGGTGAGGGATAGAGGGCTGGGGAGGGAATCTGGGAGCTGAGAGCACAGAGAAGGCATTGGGGGTTTAAGGCTTATGAGAGTAGTCTTCCTTTCTCAAATACCCAAGGGCTGATCCACTGCATGTAACTTGAGGTGGGGGGATCATCTGAGGTCAAGAGTTCGAGCCAACATGGAGAAACCCTGTCTCTACTAAAAACACAAAAGTAGCTGAGCGTGGTGACGCATGCCTGTAATTCCAGCTACTCGGGAGGCTGAGGCAGGAGAATCACTTGAACCGGGGAGGCAGGGGTTTTGGTGAGCCAAGATTGCGTCATTGCACTCCAACCTGGCAACAAAAGCGAAACTCTGTCTCAAAAAAAAAAACGGTCAAGGTTCAATCCTTGGCTCTATCACTAAAGCACTGGGACAAACAGGGTCCTTCTGTCTGGATATCTCGCCTCTGATTCCTTCCTCCCTATTCTACTCTTGCTGGGAAGAGATTTCCAGAACCAAATCTTAAAACCTCCTGACTTTTTTTTTTTTGAGACCAAGTCTTGCTCTTTTGCCCAGGCTGGAGTGCAGTGGCACAATCTCGGCTCACTGCAACCTCCACCTCCCGGAGTCAAGTGATTCTCCTTCCTCAGCCTCCCAAGTAGCTGGGATTACAGGTGCCCGCCACCACGCCTGGCTAATTTTTGTATTTTTAGTAGAGACAGGGTTTCACCATGTTGGTCAGACTGGTCTCCAACTCCTGACCTTGTGATCTGCCTGCCTCAGCCTCCCAAAGTGCTGGGATTACAGGCATGAGCCACCACGGCTGGCCAAGGGAGGACTTTCAGGAAAAAGGCCTGAGCCCAGAACCAGGGAGGGGAGGCAGAGGTGAGGAAGAGACCGCACAAGTGTGCACAGGTACAGCAAGAACAGGTCTGTTTAATGACACAGCTGGGTCTGGTTACAAACATCAGAAACTAGAAAAGGAAGACAGGCAGTTACACAGATGACAGCCTGAAGATGGGACAGGAGGGGACACAGGCATAGTAGCCACAGCAGCAAAACATCCTTGAAGACAATACATGTGACCAAGGGGCACACTTGGGGGGGTCCCCCTCCCCCGACAAGGCTGACACAGATAAATAGACAGGGCCGACCACTGGCCAGGAGGAGGATGGGGTGGGGAAGGCCCTCGGCCCTCAGAACTGAGGATGAGACCCAGGGATGTGGTCCCACCGACCTGCTGCCCAGCAGCCCGGATCCCCTGGGGCTGCTCTGGTGGCCAAGGCAGGTGGAGCTGGCGGTCCAAGTTTCTGGACTGAGGCCCCTCCCCCAGTGCGGTCAGCCCGTCCAGAATGCGCCAACCCATTCTCGGGCAATTGGTGAGTCAGTTCCTCTGGGGGAGTGGGGGGAGCCCCTTCCTTTCTGCCTGGAAGTGGAATGCAGGAATGTGGGGAGCTGGTCTGAGAAGGGGCTGGACTTTGCTGCCAAGCCGGGTTGCCCCAGCCCTGCCCCTCCAGGCCCAGGTCCTCTGCGCCGCCGTGGGACTTCCTTTCTGCCAGAACACTGTTCTCTGCGCAACAGGAACTCCTCCCTGCCCCACTCACAGGTGGGCAGAACCGAGGCTTCTGGGCCCCGCAGATACACATTCTAGATATGTACGTGTGTATATATATGTATATATATATTTATATATAGCTCATATATAGAATATATCTGTATATATGGTAGATGTGTGCGTGATACTCTAGATGGTGATATGGAGACTTGTGTGCCGGCTGGGCTGATAGAAACGGGGCTGGTTTATTCCCCAAGGGACTCCTAGACCTGTCCTGAGCCCCGCCAGCCACACAGCTAGGTCTCTCTCTAACAGTGAGTAGAAAAGCTAAGAGTGGGCCCCGCTCTGCGAGGAGGAAGGGTCCCCCACCCGCCCGCCACGCTGGGGTCAGCATCCAGGCAGCCAGCGCTGCCTCCCAGCAGCTCCGGGGGGGCTGTGGCCGCCGCAGAGGCCTCCTTCGGGGAAGTCGAGTCAGGGATTCCTCCAGCTTCCTTGGTTGTCAAGGAGGGTCTTCAGAACTCGGCCTTCTGCTCAAGGTGCTGCCAGGGAGGGGGGTGGAGGGAGGGGTCCTACGGCCCCGAAGAGGGCAGTGTGGCCGGTGGGCTGTGGACGAGATAGGAAGGGAAGGATATAGGTTACCAGAGGCAGGAAGGACCCTGGGGGGAAAGGGACCTGGGGCTGGCGAGGCTCACTTCCTGCCAGGAGACCCAGCACAGTGTGGTTGAAAGCAACCGTGAGAGCCAAGTTCCATTCTGTGTCCTGCTCCGAACCTGCTGTGATCTCAGGCAAGTCTGCTGGCCCATGGGAACTCTGGATCTTTTTCTCTAAAACGTGAATAATGTCTGTCTTGTGCATAAACTGAGCAAAAAAATGTTTCACAAACTGCAAAGCACCATACCAACGTGAGCTCTTTTTCCATTAATTCTGAAGCATGGCGAGTTCTGTCCGGCCTCTCTCGTCCCTCCTGGGGCCACCACGTGTATTCTCGTATTCTTGGTTCACGCAGCCCCCGCTGCAATCATGCATACACCCCCGCCCGCCCACGCAAAGGCACACACCCTGAAGCAGAGACGGCTCAATAAACAGTGGCGCCTGGCCCACTCCTGCCTTCCTGATAAGAGAAGTTGGGCAAGGGCCTTCTAGGACTCTGCCCTGTAACTCTGTCCTGCCCTCAAGCCCATGGGGACCCTGGCAGCAGGGAGGCTCTACAGGCCCAGGCCAGGGGCCCTAGGAGTGGGCTAGAGGATGTAAAGGGGTGAGGGGACAACCCCAGCACTTGACTGCTGGGCGCTAAGCCCCGTGGGGTGCCAGTGTCCACGGTAGCCCATCTCCATTTAGTCCACAAGGAGCAGAAGAGGGAGAAGGAGGAGACTTCGGCACTTTCCTAATGTGTGGGGTTTGGAGATGGAGGTCCCGGGGCAGGGTGGGGAGGGCAGGGTGGGCAGCGTGTGGGGAGCCGGGCCATGTGTTTCTGATTCACTGGGGCTCTCGCCCAGCCAGCTCTCTTTCCAGTCCCTCTTAGCCCTTGTAAAAAAGCCCGTTTCTCTGGAAGCAGGAAGTCTTGTGTCCTGGCTGTAAACAAGCTCATCTTTGGCAGCAGAGCCTGCCTGGGGAGAGGGGTGGGAGGGCAAACCCCGTCGCCTCTCCCCCTTTTCCCCTGTCTCTTCCCTGGACCCTCTGAGTGACAGCTGGTGGGGGGCGAGGGGGCAACCCCAGCTCTCCACTCTCTGCCAGTGCCCTCCTCTGGTGGGCCAACATCTGCTTGTTTCCCATTGACTCCGGGTTTCAGGCAGGCCAGGGCCCAGCTGTGCACATCTGGAGTTGGCTCGGCTGTGGCCAGCAGTTCCCGAGGACTCCATTCTCTTGGGGTGCTGCTGACGGGAGAAGGGGGAGGGGTGCAGGAGCCAGCCCCGGGCCAGTGTGGTCAGCAGCAGGAAGGGCAGGAGGCCTGACGTCCCCAGCTGCCCTCAGGGGACCTTCTCCAGGAGCTGCGCCTGTGAGCAGGAGGGCCGGCAGCTTGGGGACCCATGTAGAGCCCGGCGGGAGACACCGCCTTTTCCATGGGAAACTGCTGGGAATGTTTCTCCACCACGCGTGTCCCGGGCTGCTGGCTGACCTCTGCTTCCCCTTCCCGCCTCTGCTCCTCTTGCTCCTTCCTACTCCAGCCCTGCCTCTGCATCTCCATTCAGCTCCCAGAGTAAGCCTCCCCTTGGGGGCCCAGGGAGGCTGAGTGTTCCCAGCCGCCGTGTCTGGGGGCTAGCCCTCCCCTCACGCTCAGAGTCAGCAGGAGTCACGGAGGCCGGCCACCCTCCTTGAGCCACCTCCCGGGCCCAGGACTGGAAGGCCAGCCTCCAGGTCAGCCTGGAAGTAAACATCCCCCTGTGAGCGTGCGTGTGAGTGACACCCATGTAGCTCCCTCGTGGGCTTGGGCATGTGGGTGTGTACATGTCCTCGTGATCCTTCTGGCTCTAGCCCTGTTGAGGCAGAGGGCAGATCGCAGCACTGGTCAGCAGGAGATGAAAAAACATCCCCTTGTGACTGGCACCCAGGGAGGAAGTGGCTAGGCTGGCCTGGGCCGCTTCTGAGCCTGATGATCGGACGGACCTTCCGCCAGGAGCCTCTGGCGCCTCTCTGCCTGGCCAGCTGTGGCATTGGATGCTCTCAGCACTCCCTGGCTCTAGGGAAGGGGAAGGCTCGGAAGGACTTCTGCTCAGGGCTCACGGTTCGGCGCAGCTTCAAGTCACAGGGGAGCCGTCTTGAAGGCCTGTTCCTATGATGCCTGTTCTTCCATGTCAGACCCCAGGCTTGGCCTGCCTCAGGTTTTCCCTCCCAGGCGGTCAGCCCCAGGGCCCCAGGAGAGATGGGAGACCTTGGGGACAGGAGAGGACATGGCAGGGAGGCTGCCCAGCCCACCCTCGCCCGCCTCCTCACGTGGTGGCGTTGGGGACCTGCTGCACCCAGCCCACTTCCTTGTAGGCAGCGGTCACGTGGCTGTAGATGAGGCCACGCAGCTTGGCCCAGGCTCTCTGCGTCTCAGGTGGGAAGTCATTGGCAAATTCCTCGGCGATCACCTCCAGAATGACCCCAGAGAGGATCTGGGGGCAAAGGGAGGAAGGGAGAGTGAACATGGGGGCGCCCTGAGTCCGTTAACCCCCAAGCCCCTCCATTCCATGTGTGGCCAAGGGGATGGTTCCTAACGCCACGGCCTGGCAGCTTTGGGAACCCAGTGCTGTCAGGACAAAGGCTGCCCTGGACCTAGCCCCTCCATCCTGCTGCCAGCACTGCCCCTCCCTCTCGCAGCCACTCCGGGGGTCACCTCTGCTGCCCCAGGAAGCCCTCCCGGAGCCTGCGAGCTGCGGGTGGCCGTGAGGAATGGGCGTGGGGGCTCTGCAGCAGAGCTGGGTGCATACCTTAAAGTACACCGGCTCCACCTTGTGTTTGAGGGCGTGGGCCTTCCCCACTAGGGCAAGCACAGAGGACACCTTGTCGGGGTCATGCAGGTTCTCCACCACAGTGTTGAGGGCCCCCATGACCCGGCAGGCATGCTTCCGCAGCTGGGGGCTCCGCTCCATCTCCAGGGGATCCTCCATGTGCTTGAACTGGCTGAAGTACTGCTTGGCCGAGGGGAAGTTCACAAAGAACCTGGCAAGAGGAACAGGGGTGGACGCTGAAGCTGGGGCATCCTTGGGCCCACCCTGAAGCGGCCAGGATAGTGGGAGCTGAGGAAGCCACCCCCAGACCTCCCCACCCCTGCACCATTACTGTTTTCGCTACCGTCCATAGAGCTCAGCACAGAACCTCCTCGCTCGGCCAAGCCGGCTCGCCTGGGGCCCCCTACCCAATCCAGCCACATCCATTTGCCAGGCTTGCACAGGCTGGTGGCTTCCTCTCCCAGGCCTCTGTCTTCCTCACTTCTTGCTTCCTTCCCAAACGCTACACCCCCTTCAAGGCCTGCTCTAGTCACAGCCGAGAGGGTAAGAGCTCAGGCTCCGGAATCATAGTTAACCTGAAATTAAATCCTCTCCAGTTGGTCTGAAATGGTTCCGATTCTCCTAAAATACTGCTTTCATGAAGTCATGTCCATGCTCAAAAACATTCAACGGCTCCCTATTGTCTGCCAAAGTGAAACTCCTTTTCCAGGCACTCCCAGCTTCTTCTGAACTGTCCCCCACCCACTTCTTCAAACTTATGTTCACATTCCCCCCGATATTCACGTCATCCCTCTCCCGGCCCAGCGGCTCTATTTACTGTTGAGAAAACGTTCCTCAGGAGGCCCCTTTCCTTTTTATGACCCATTTTCAGTGTTAGGCATGCCTTACCTGGAGCAGGCTGGCCCAGTGCAAATGCTTTGCCCCCAAGGCCATTGGCACCACTCAGGTGGCCTTCGCTGACCCCCTTCCAGCCTGTCAGACTGGATCCCAAGGCTCTCATGCACCCTGACCCCCTGCCCTAGCTGGGGTCCTGCAGTGTGGAAAATGACAATGTCTTGTGTGTGTGTGTGTGTGTGTGTGTGTGTGTGTGTGTGTGTGTGAGGTTGAGTCTCACTCTGTCATCCAGGTTAGAGTGCAGTGGTGCAATCTTGGCTCACTGCAACCTCTGCCTCCCAAGTTTAAGTGATTCTCCTGCTTCAGCCTCCTGAGTAGCTGGGACTACAGGTGCCTGTCACCATGCCCGGCTGGCTAATTTTTTGTATTTTTAGTAGAGACGGGGTTTCAACATGTTGGCTAGGCTGGTCTTGAACTCCTGACCTCAGCCTCCCAAATTGCTGGGATTATAGGCATGCACCAACTGTGCCTGGTCGACAATGACTTTTGCACCTCCTCTCCCTGTGGGGGCCGGATATCAAGTGAGACATAGGCACCGACACAGTCAGAACTTACGTAACTTAAGTGAATCCCCAAAAGTGCATGGAGTGTCCTGGACCTGTTCTTCCAGATTGTTCCGCCCCTTTGTGTGTCCCCTTTGTGATCAGAGAGAGCTGATAATTTGTAGAAGCAGCCCTTTGGCCAGGAGTCGAGTCTCAGATGTGAGGGCTGGAACAGGTGCAGAGAGGGCATCTGGCCGGGTCAGCCCTACTGATGGTGGAGCTGCTGTTGGCAGGGGAAATTTGCACAGTGACCAGCGCACAGTCTGCGTGGAAACCCAGGAGGGCCCCTCTCAGAGGCTAACTGTGACCTTAGGCAAACCCCCTCACAAGCTCATGTCTGCAGAAAGGCGAGAGGAGAGCCCCTGCTCACTGCTTCATGGATACACGGGTGAGGACACGTGAGGCAGTGGGTCTAAAGATACACTGAATTTTCTGGAGAAGCACTGTAATGAGGGACCAATGTGAAAAACCCAATTTGGACTTAAATGAGCATCTCAGACATTGGAGGTTTTACAACTGCAATAAAAAATAATGATATGGCCGGGCACGGTGGCTCACGCCTGTAATCCTAACACTTTACGAGGCCAAGGCAGGCGATGGCCTGAGCACAGGCATTTGAGACCAGCCTGGACAATGTGGCAAACCCTGTCTCTTCAAATACAAAAACAGCCAGGTGAGGTGGCACACGCCTGTGGTTCCAGCTACTCAGGAGGCTGAAGTGGAAGGATCACTTGAACCCAGGAGGTCAAGTCTGCAGGGAGCCAAGATTACGCCCCTGCACTCCAGCCTGGGTGACAGAGTGAGACCCTGAATCAAAAGAAATAATGATAATAATTAATAATAATAATCAAAGGCTGGGTGTGGTGGCTCATGCCTGTAATCCCAGAACTTTGAGAGGCCAAGGCAGGAAGATCAGTTGAGGCCAGGAGTTCGTGACCAGCCTGGGCAACACAGTGAGATCCTGTCTCCAGAAAAAAAGAAAAAAATTGGCTTGGTGTGGTGGTGTGTCTGTAGTCCTAGCTATTTGGGAGGCTGCAGCAGGAAAATCCGATCACATGAGCACAGGATTGGTGGCTGCAGTGAGCCATGATTGTCCCACTGCACTCCAGCTTGGGTGACAGAGCAAGACCCTGACTCAAAATAATAATGATATATATTTGCCTGGCGTTTTACAATTTGCAAAGTATCTCCACGTATGTTATTGAAGCCCTTCCTTCTCTTCCTCCCCTTCCTCCTCTCTCCTTCTCTTTCCTTCTTTCTCTCTTTTCTTTTTCTTTTCTCTCTCTCTTTTTCCTTTCCTTCCTCCCTTTCTGTCTCTCTCTTTTTCTCCCTTCCTTCCTTCCTTCCTCTTTCTCTCTCTCTCTCTCTTCCTTTCTTTCTTTCATGGGATGTCACTCTTTTTTTTGCTTGGGTTGGAGCGCGGTGGTGAGATCTTGGTTTACTACAAGCTCTGCCTCCCAGGTTCAAGTGATTCTTCTGTCTCAGCCTCCCGAATTAGCTGGGATTATAGGTGCCCGCCACCAGGCCCGGGTAAATTTTGTATTTTAGATACAGGGTTTCGCCATATTGGCCAGGCTGGTCTTGAACTTCTGACCTCAGGTGTTCTGCCCGCCTTGGCCTTCCAAATTGCTGGGATTACAGGTATGAGCCACGGTGCCTGGTCTGTTACTGTATTTAATTGCCACAGCTAAGCAGGTGTTACCTCTATTTTACTGATGAGGAAACAACAGGGAACATTTATTGAGCACTTACTGTATGATCTCACGAATTCTTGCATTTCCCTCCTGAGATAGGCACCGTTTTAGTCCCCCTCTTATGAATTAGAAATTGATGTCCAAGATTGCCCAACAGAGTAGATGGGCCAGGAAGGGGCCCAGGTGGGCCCTGCTTTGACGGCTTCCCCATACTGCCTGGAGAGACGGCTGTGCCAGGGGACTGTGGCCTGGTAACCAGGTGTCTCCTGCCTCAACACCCACCACTGGGTTGTGGCCCTGAGGAATGACAGTCTCAGGGAGCCCCCACCCAGACCCTCCAAGGTTCTGCAGCCCTTGGGGCCCACGTGCATGGCTCCTGCCTCCTGGCTCCATGGCATTTCCACCTGAGACCCGCCCAGTCTCAGCCTGTGCTGCCAGGGAGGAGCCTCCAGAGCCAGCCCTGGGGAGTTTCTCAGCTCCCAGAGGAATCTGGGCTTCCAAGAGAGCCTGAAATAGGCCTGTCTGAGTGTGAGGAGGAAGGTGTCAGAGTTACAACCAGGCGGGAAGGTGGGTGTTCCCTCTCTCGGTCTCCCTGGCAGGGAGTGGAAGTGTGGGGTCTGCCCCAGGTTCTGAAAGCAATGCCTCCTCCACCCCCACCAACGTGGCAACTTCTCCAGGTTGGGGCTGTGGAGGTACAGTGATCTCCTCCTTGTCCTGCAGGCTCACTAGGGCTGAGCACGCTGGCCTGGCACAGTGAAGAGGGCACAGTTGAGAGCGCTGGCCAGAGGGCTCCAGCTGGGCCCTTGACCTTGAGGATGTGTGTGTTGTGTGTGGGAAGAAAGAGCACTGTGTAAAGACTGATGGGCCCAGGATCTAAGGAGGGATCTTCAGGAGCCCTTGTCTCCCTTTCCTCCTCTTCCCCTACTGACCAGGCCCTGGGCAGAGACAGGAGGAGAGAAGAGGGAAAGCAAGGCCCCGTGGGGTTGGGCTGGCAGGGAGTGGCCCGGGCTGGGCTCTAGTCCGCACGGAATTGAGCACGTTGGTAATGATCTCCCGCAGTCCAGGCCCAGGCCCCTCTAAGAGACAGGAGTGGAGACCGGAAGAGGGGTGGAGAGAGAAAAAGAAATCCTTGTCGAAAGCTTGGACTGTCCAGACATGGCCCTGCCCTCAGTGCTTCATTTCTCCTTGGCATCTTCCCCACCCTGGTCCCCTTCCTGGGGAGGTTCAGTGGTGCCCCGGGATGCTGATGGTGAGCACTTCCTCCACGGATCTGCACAGGCACATGGCAGGGGTTGGGACAGAAAACCTCCAAGGTCCTGAGGACCCTGGCTCATCTCCTCTGGTGACCCATGTGCATGCCCAGACACACACGAGGCCGGTGGGCTGTGGGTGCTGGCACCCGGCGGCCAGCCCGTCCGAGGATGCAGTCTGGCACGTCTGCGGCTCTGCTGCCTGCTGTGTGCTTGTGTGGATGCCGGCACGTGTGGGGATCTGCGGTTCCGAGAGTCTGAGGCTCCAGAATCCCAGTGCCCCTCTTAGCTTCCTGCCGCTCTCGGCTCTGTTTCTGGGCCTGGGGTGCTGCTGAGACAGCTGCCCCATCCTCAGGAACGCTCCTCTTACTCCTTAGAAGTGCTTCCTGCTGTTTTTCCTCCAAAATCTGCTTTGGAGTTGGAATCAGGGCATATCATGGTGGAGCTGGTAGGTCCCAGGCTTGGGAGAGAGAAGAGGCCTGGGAGTCAGGGAGGCCCTAAAGCTGTCCTTCCAGAGCGAGGCTTCACCCATCTTCCCATGACAAGGCTGTCTTGCTCTGTCCTAGATTTGACTCTTTCCTCTGCCAAGAACAGGGGATTGAGAGTGAGCGTGGTCTGGAACCTCTCTTCCTGCACCCCCAGGGGCCAGCACATGAGGGAAGAGAGCATGGATTTGTAGCTCGAGTCAGTTACTAGCTTTCGAGGCTTGGACACATCACCTCGACGAGAATGGTGTGTGCACGCTCTGTGCAGGTGTGTGAATGGGACGGTCTGTGTGTGTGGCTGTCTCAGGGATGTGTGGTGCCTGAATGAACCCCTAAGCCCAAGCCACTGCATTTCCTCCCGAGGTGGGGGATTTTAGGGTTAGGCCCTGTCTCCTGAGGCTTCTCTCTTCTCCCGTCACCCTCAAACTCAGCAGGGACTGTATGCTTCTGCACTGTTTGCTTCTCCACTCACCTGTGCCTGCCCCAGGAGCTCCTGCTGACCTGCACCTCCAGCAGGAAGAGGGCAGCTGGGAACACTGGCCCCAGCTCTCTTCCTTCTCAACCTCTGCGCTTTGCTCCCTGTTCTTCCAAGAGGCTTTGAATCCAGCAAGCGGCTGAGCTTGAGACAAGAGTCTGCTCCTCTTTGTCCCCTTACTTGGCTCAGCCTCGGTTTTCCCATCTCTAAAATGGGGAGCCCCTGCTACTCCCTTTGAAAGGCCAGAAAAATGTGTGTGTCAGACAGCTTGACTGGGTGTCTGGGGTCGCTGGCCAAGGGAGAAGTTCCGAGGCCGGGAAAAGGAGGGGGACCGAGGTGCCCTCCCGAATCTTGTTCCTAGTTCCTGGTGAGCCCCGCGCCGGAGCCAGGGAAAGCTCAGCCCAGGCTTCGTTCACCCCAAGGCGCCCCACGCTGCCCGCCCCGCTGACCTCGTACCGGCCCCAGTGGCCCCAGTCACGGCTGGGGAGGTGGCGCCGGAGCTCGGACCCTGGCCCAACCCGCCTCTGCCTGGAGCCGCTGCCGCCCTCCCTGCCCAGGGCCCGGCCGGGCCGGGCGACACCTACCTCACCAGGATGGCCACCCCCACGTCCTCGCAGTTGGCATACAGCCGGGCCCACGTAGCCTGCACCGCCTTCCTCTCCGCCTCGGACAGCTCCTCGCTCCGCTCCCTGCGCTCGATCTCCATCTCCCCCGGCACTTTCTCCATGAGCAGCTCCAAGCCCAGCCCGGCTTTGCTCGGCGGCTGCGGCGGTGGCCGGGCGCGGGGCGCCGGGCGCGGGGCGCGGGGAGCCGGGGCCGGCTGCGTGCGCGGCGGGCGGGCGAGGGGTAGAGCGCGGAGGGAGGGAGCGTGTGTCTGTGCGCGCCGGGTGTGTGTGTGTGTGTGCGTGCGTGTGTGCAGGGTATATGTGCGGGGGGCGGGGGACCGCCAGCGGGGGGCGGGGATGTGGTCTGCTGGAAAATGTTTAAAAAAACAAATCCGCTCCAAACCCCGGGCCCCGTGTGGGTGAGCCAATGCCGGCAAGGTGAAGGCTGCGCGGGGTGGGGGCGACGCGACTGCTGCCCGCCCACCCGCAGGCCACCGCGGAGTTGCACCGCGGGGCGGGGCTGGGGTAGGTGTGGCCGGAGCTATGGGGGTCCCGGGAGGAATGGGCGGTCACGCGGCGCTGGGTGGCGCGGGCCGCACAGGAGTGCGCCGGGGCGGGCGCGGGCCGGGAGCGCTGGGTCCCGGCTCCCAAAGCGTGCAGCATCGCTGGTGTGCGCGTGCAGACCCTTCCCGCGGCGGGGAACTGACTCAAAGTCCAACACTCCTGAGCTTTCGCGGTGAGGCTGCCCGCTAGCCCTTCCGTGGGGGGCCCCTGGACCGCGCTGGGCTCCCGGAGCCCCGGCCTCTCCCCGGAGCCAGGCGCTGGGGACCGCGGCGCCACTCCCACAGCTCCAGACGGCCAGGCTCTTGGGGTGGGGGTATTAGATGGGGCTCGTCCCCCTGCCCGCCCACCGCCCCGGCTGTCCGAACTTGAGCGCACTTCCGATCGCGGGCGCCAGAGGCCTGCGCCCCCTTTCCTTCCGCCCAGCACCCCCGTTGCCCTCGGTGCACGCGCGTGGCGGCGGGGGCGTCGAGAAGTCCCCCGTGGTTTACGAATGACAAGGACAGGCAAGAACTAGGCGCTGCCCTGAATTCTGGCCCAGCTGGTGGCGGAGAAAAGTCCGGAGAGGCACCGGATAGGGCAGAGAGGACCTGTCGGTCAAGAAGTCCTGAGGAAGGCGCAGGCCGCTGGGGACACCTCAGCTGCCACCAAGGGCTTGATTCCGGGCTGGGGGAGACAAATCCTTCCTCCTGGTGGACCCTGTCCAGAGCGGTGTGAGTTGGGCCAGAGGTAGGGGGAGAGTACCATGGTGCCCGCCCTTCAGCGGCTGCTGGGTCCTGGGGACAGCCTGAGGCCAGACAGGGCCTGACAGTGTCAGGAAGAGATGTCACTCAGGCTCCCCATGACCCTTGTCCTTGCTCAAGACTTGGTGTCCCATTGCCCAAGCATTGCCAAGGGTTGGCTCTGGGCTTCTGCTGTGTGTGGTTCATGTATTTATTCTTAAAATTCGACTGTAAGGTCCTGGGGAGGCAGGGAGAACTCGCCCAGGCAAGCCTCAGCTGCAGGCTGGGCCCTTCCTGGGAGCTCAGGGTTCCAGTGCCTGGGGGACCCGGGGGCAGTGACTCTGACACTGCCCCCCCCCCTTGTTGAGTGAAGGAAAATCTAATGCCTCCTTGGAGGTTTTGGAGGGCTGGAGAGGAGTGGGTGGGCTCAGGTTCTCACATTACTCCCAGACCCACGTCTCAGTGTGGTCATGGCTGGTTCCATGGCACACTCCACACACACTGAACAGTTTCTCAAAGTTGCTGCGACCAAGTGGCTGCCCAACAGGTCCCCTTGGGATGTGGAAAGAAAGTAGGAGAAATCCGCTATTTCTTTTCAGCTCATCCTTTGCAAATTCAATGCAGCCTTATGGTGTAGGAATGTATCTGTTTCATGATCTAGCATATAATTTGTAAGTGGGTGCACCTATCTATTTTGTGAGTGCGCACTTGAATTCCGCCTTTTACCGAAGAGGGTGTGTAATCAGAAAAGTTTGGAGAGGATTGTCCAGAGGGTAAACTGTGCCAGCCCTTCACTGTTGAGTCTCCCCTGTTTCTCTGGCTTCATTATCGAATATTCTTCCCTGTTCTTCCTCCTCTCCTGATCTTTCTATGGTGACATCATTGCTTCACCTCTACTCACCTTGCAGTTACCGGCAGATGCTCCATGATTTCATGTCAGTAGCCTCGGCAGCGTGTTCTGTCTGAGGGCTCATCCTCCTTGCGCACTGCAAATTTAGATGCCGTCGCTCCTCTTTGAACCTTGCCTTGAGGCCTGCAACTCTGAAAGTGCCCTGGAGGTGCCTTGAATCACTCCTGGGTCACTCTCCTGCAGCCATTGTACTTGACAGCACATTTGTCTAGACTGGCAGCTCCTTGTAAGCAAGGCCCAGTCTCTGAGATAGACACTCCGAATATGTGCCCAATGCCACGGTGCACACCTTGACCCTACAGCTGGAGGGGAGAACTGGGGCCCAGCGAGCTTAATCAGTCCTCCCAAGGTCAGGGCTGCTGACCCACTAATCAGCTTGAGCCTCCTAATCCATCCCCAGCAGGAACCGCAGGACAGACGGCAGTGGCTCCTGAGAGCGGGCCGGGGCCATTTTGGCTCCTCGCCTGTGGCCTTCTGTGGACTTGGTCTGGGAGGGGATGGGGCAGCTGCGCCATGTGCACCACACTTTTCCTGCTCAGCACCCTGGCCATGCTCTGGCGCCGCCGATTTGCCAACCGAGTCCAACCGTGAGAAACTGACTGGTCTATGGCTGGGGGTTGGTGGGGGAGGACCCATGGAGCTGGGCTGCCACCAAGCCTGGACCTTCAGGGGAGCTGGGAGGGCATTTTCAAGGAACCCTTGAGAGCTCAGTCTCAGAGCAGGGGACACTTAGAGCGTCAAAAGCTCTAGTTGCAGCCTCCAGTGCCATAGCCCAATGGGGCTGGGACCTGTGGAGGGGCAGGGAGGGGCTGGGCACGGTCATAGCTCTTCCTGCCTACTCTTGCCTCCCACAGAGAGCCCAGCGACGTGGATGGGGCAGTTAGGGCCAGCAGCGTGGACGCAGACCCTCAGGCCTCACGCAGGTAAGGCTGGAATCTGGGCTGGGAGAGGGAGGGTGCTGCCAAGGATGTTGTGGCTGTGCCTGGTTGGGGGTGCACGTGTGTGTCTGTGTGCGCGCCTGTGGGGCACCGTATCCCGGCGCTTGCCCTAGGCACCCTGCTCCCCGTCCGCCTGGTGGGCAGGCCGGATGTCTGTTTTCTGCAGTTGGGAATGGGAGTCCCCAGCCGCTCCTCTGGACCAAAGCTGCTGTGCCTCTCATCTCCAGTACGGGGCGGTCCCCCCGGGCACCTTCTGTCGGGAGACGCAGGGGAGTGGAGGGAGGGATGAGGCAGGGGCAGCTCTGTGCGGCTTTGCTCGCCTTTCCTTGCCCTTCCCCCTCCTCCTCCTCTGCCCCCGCCCCGCCTCGGCTCAGCTGCCCGAGCCTCCTGCAGGATTCGCTGTCCAGTCCCCAATAGAAGGCGCGGGAGGAGCATGACATCATCAGCATTGAGTGCCATTGGCTGGGCCGCCCCTGCGGGCAGGACGCTGTCTCCAGTGGCCAGAAAGTTAACTCTTCCCTAGGCTGAAGCCATGTGGTCTTTAGGGGGTGAAGTTGGGGGAACTTCCAGACTTTTCCTTCCCTGGGTGACCACTGTCGTTCGATGACAGGGGCGCCTATCCCAACGAAATACAGGGAAACATCAGCAAATCTTTATTAAGTTCCCGTGCACGAGGGGTTCCTTTTGTGCCTATGGACTCACCTAGCATGGGAGACCCGTCTGAAGAGGGACTTTTTTGCTCCCAGTGAAACAAAGAGTAAAAAAGATCCTATTATATCCCCGGGTCAGGGCCTGCTGGCAGGAGGGTGTCTCCACAAGGGGTGGACGCAGGTGGCGGGTCCTGTGACCATCCATGTCTCTGAGTGGGGACTTGCCAGCAATGAGTCCCTTTGATATGTGGACACTGGCAACCGAGAGAACCTCAGTCTTCCTGTCTCCTGTCGTCTGAGTCCTGGGATTCTGAGTCCTGAGATTCTGATGATCAGAAGGACCGCCGGGAAGCCGTGGGCCTGTACAGGAAACAGAAGCATTTCTGTGACACTGGGTAGGGGGGCTGGGATCATCATAACAGTGCCTGATTAGTATCATTAGTTAAATCGGATAAAATGACCAAATGACCACCCCTGGGCCTCCCCCCACAGGAGGCCTTCAAATGCTGAGTGGTCCTCACTGTTGAGCCTGGGTCTGGAGTTGGGCAGGGAGAATTTAAATCCTGGCTTCCCTCTTACTAATGGAAAGACTGTGGGGCCATTTACGCAATCAGTTTATTTTTATGTAAACTAGGGTTGATAACAGTGGTTGTGAGGTCCTGGTGAGGGTGCAGAATGATTGTACCATAAATGCTAGCAGCTGTCTTGTTCTACCCGGGACCTGTGCTTTAGTTTTCTCCAGAGGTTTCTTATACATTAGCTCACTCAGAAGTCTCAATACCCAGAGGACTGGCAGGACATGTGTTTTTAATCTTTGGTTAGCTGTTGAGGAAACTGAGGGACAGGGAGATTCAGGTGACTTGCTCCCGATCATCGATCTCATTCATGGCAAATGTGAGATGTTCAGGGCCCTGACTTCCAGGCAGTGCCTCTTCTACATGAAATGGGCCTGGACCTCCTGGCGGGAGAGAAAAGGCCAAATCTGAGGACCATCTGGCCAGGCCTGGCGTGACTTAGCCAGAAGGAAGCAATTGCCTATTAACTCCTTGGGACCCAGTTAACTGGAAAAATTGGTCTGACATCGAGGAGCCACCTGCTGATGGTGGCTGCTGTGGAGGGCTGGCAGTGGGAATGACATTTCTGCTCTCCAGTCACACTGTCCTAAATGCCAACTGATTTCTTAGGTGCTCCTGCCCCTCAATATTGGGGTGAATCGATAGGGATGGGAGAAGGAGGAAGAGGAGAGTGAGGAACATGTTAACGTCATGTCCTCCAGTCCTGACCCCAGTGCTTTCCTCTGTTTAGGGAGGAAGAACCTCTGAAGTAAAGCCTCACCTCTGCAGGTGGGCTCAGGCCCAGAGACTGGGATCAGCTGGCCCAGGCAGGTAGGGCAGGGCTGGGACCTGGGGAGGACAGAGGGCAGGGCTGGGGACAGGGAGGAAGAAATAGACAAGGCCTGGCCCTGTAGGAGTATAGCAGGCAGTGTTCAGCCCTTGCAGTCATTGATGGAGGTTCAAAGTAGGTGAATGGACTCGTGTCTCTGGCTGCTACCTTAAGCCTGTTGTGTTCCGGGCCACGGAGCAAGAGTTAGTTTGCAGAGAACCACGTGTGGTTTGACCACATTTTCTAGGCTTGGGGATGGCGTGGTGGTTATGCTGGGGCACAAGGGCAGTGTCGGAGGACATCCAAGGGAGAGGCGGTGCTCTGCAACATCCACCCTGAAATGCAAGTCCCATCCCCAGGCGTGGGAGAAATGCTGATCTGTTCTGATTTTCTGTTTCAGCTCAGGTCCTGGTTCGTCCCCTAGTCCAGGAGGATGCTGTGGGAGCCGGGGCAGCAGCAAGAGGGAGAATGGGGGAAAGCAGCACTAAAGGGTAGGTACCCCCACTTTCAGCCCAGGACCTGCCAGTCTCCCCTTCCCCCAGGCCCTGGCTATGGGCTCCTGAGCAGGAGCTGGCCGGGCCTGGCAGAAACAGCAGAGGGGCTCGCTGCTTTCAGATGGGCTCCCTTCCCTCTGTGTTCCTGGGGCTCCTTTGAGGAACTGCTGAGTCTGAGAAAGCCCAGGGTGAGGGACTTGCTGGGTCCTCCAGGCTAATTCCGGGGCAGCCAGCAGCCCAGGCAAGAGGCAGGAATAAGTAAGGAGTGAGGAGACCCCAGAAGCAAGGGACGGCTGATGGCTCATGTTTACTAAGCAAGGGCTTCCATTCATTCTGTAATTTAATCCTCAGTCACCCACAGAGCCTGGTAATGTTATTATCCACAATTTCTAAATGAGGAAACACAGAGAGAGGTTAAATCATTTGCCCAGCATCACCTAGCTAGTACATGGAGGCTCCCAGGCTCACACTGGAGCTGCAGAGCCCACGCTCCTACCCACCAAGGCAGACAGCCTCCCCCTGGAACCCAGCACAGTTTGCAGGGGTGGGGGGCGGATTGCCGGCCCAGCCACTGCCTGTCAGCCCAAGAGCTGTTCTGTGAAGCCTCCGCTTGTGGTCCGAGGTGCTGATGTCAGTTTGCCACAGTGGCACTCGCTTCTGTGGCACTTGCTTTTCCCCATTCCCCAGAGCTCCTCCTGTCACTGGCTGCTCTGCTGAAATTATCAATAAGAAATGCCAGTTGGATCTGTGACATGTCTGCCTGCAGCTGGATGGGAGCAACTGACAGCTTGTCCTCCCAATGTGTTTTCTGCATGTGTGCTCGGGCGCGTGTGTTCCAAATGGGCAGTAGCGTGTGGGAAGGAAAAAGCCTGACACTTGTTTTTGTCAATTTGCTGATGCTCAGTCCCCGCGGCTGCCTCCTTTGCCCCCAGCTGCTCTGCCATTTCTCGATTTGCAATCCTGCGATCCTGCACAGAGATAAAAGCAGATTTCCGCTTCTACTCCCAGATTCAGGCGCAGACCCTGCAGGCAGCTGCTCTCGACGTCTCACAGCTATTAGTCTTCAAAAGCCCCCCGTGCCTCCGTGCACACGAGTCTCTCCTCCCCAGCCAGCTCCCTCTGCCAGCCCGTGGCGATGTCTCCGCCTGGCTGGCCCCTGCCCTTGACTTTCAGGCAGCAGGAGACGGAGGAGTTCTCTAGACAGCAGCACCTCAGCTGCCGCTGCTCCGCCTCTGAAGGGAAGGAAGGGAAAGGGTGAGGGATGCTGCAGAGGAGAGGGAACCACTGGGGAGGCGCTCAGGGTGGGGGAGGAGGCGCACCCCGCTGGGAAGGGGCTGCTGGTTCCTCGGGGAGCCTGGCTGGGGTGTGTGCGAAGGCAGTTCTGTGGGAGCCTCTCAAAGTAGGGCAGGGAGGAGGCAGGGGGAAAGTCACACTAGGGAAGGAGCCCGCAGGGGCAAAGCCAGAGTGCCAACCTGACCCAGGCCGTGAGCCTGTGACCGCCTGTCTCAGCTCCTGTCAGCCTGTCTCTCTCCTGAGAAGCACTGGCCTTCCTGGTGACAGGCCTGTCAGGCTGAGGGCCAGAGGGCACTGTTCCGGGGACCCAGTCTGTGTTCCCTGATCCTGTCTGCATTTATTCTCTCATCTATTTGCCACGTTCCTCTCACCTCATCCTTGCTGCCATTTCCAAGTTGCCTATCTTCTTCCACTGGTCTGAGGAACTGTCAGGCCAAGGTCATGGGGCTGGCTTACGGCCCAGAAGCACTTCCCCAAGGCAGCGCCCCTCCACAGCACTGTTCCAAGAACCTGCGAGGAGGTGCCCGCTGCTCCAGGGACCCCATCTAGATGAAGGGCAGGAAAGAGAGAGGAAGGGGCTGCTGGCTGGCGGCAGGGCTGTGGTTGCCTGGGCTTGGAGGTTGCCTGGGCAGCTGGAGTGCCATGTGGGCTGGTGGGGGGGCTCTCTCCCCCAGGGAGCAGGCTGGCTTTGGTGGGAGCAGATTGTGTTTACACCTTCCCCGCACACCCAGCCCACGCTCGCCTCTTATTCTCGGGGCCTCTCCCACCCTGGGTTCTCTGCGCAATCTGCACATTTGCAGCTCCTGCTGCAGAAAGTTGCCTCTCTCAGCCTAGAGCTCCCCGTAGAAAGCTCCCGGGACCCAGGCACCCCTTCCTTGGCCCACTGGCTCCCATCACAGGGGTTGGTGTGAAGCTCAGGGCTACGGTGGACCTTCAAGTGGAGCAATGGCTTAAATCCTGACTAGGACACTGTACCCATGGAGGCTAGGTCCTTTCTCCTCCCGTTTCCTTGCAAGGAGCCACTGCTTGGGAATGGGAGCAGGAGTTCTCAGGGGCTTAGGAGAGGGTACGTAAAGGGTAACTAGAGAGGTGGAGCTGAGGCAAAGGGTGGGGTCCCTTCTGGTCCAGGGTGCTGGCTACTGTGAAACAACAGAGTCCAATAGGAGGGCATCCAGAGTCAGAGCTCCTGGGTTTGAACCTTGTTCCACCAGTGCATCCTACCTGTGGCCTGGGTAGGTTTCTGAACACCTCTGTGCCTCAGTTTCCTTAGCTGTAGGATGGAGATCGTGGTGCTCTCTATCTCTTAAGAGTTGTTGGAAGGGTTGATTAGATAATGCATGGAACAGCTTAGCACGTTGGGTAACTGTCCCGTATATGTGAGCTGGCACAGTTAGGTTTGAACCGTAAATTACTGAACAGTGGTAGATTCAGGACGGCTAGAGTTCCTCACCTCCTCACTCTGTGGTCCTCCTGCCGCTTCTCCACAAACACAGAGCTGGGCAGCCAGCAGTTCTGCAACAGATTAGAGCATGGCAGAAGGCGGCATTGCTGGGCTGGGGAAGCACCCAGTATGCCGAAGACTGTCACTGCCTGTGCCCAAAACCCTGTCCCAACCCCCAGTGGTGGTCTTGGCATGGACACTGCCACCGCAACTGGCTCTGCTTCCGGAATGAACCTCAGCTCCTTGACAAGACGGGAGGCGCGGCCCTGATGTGGTGGCTTCCTCTGTGTCAATGCTAATCTCTCTGCTGGGGGAGCCTGAGTGACGGGGAAAGGCTGCTGGGAGCTGCAGGGTGGCTGAGGGCAGCAGCCAGGAGCAGGGAGGTGCTGCTCCTGTGACTGAGGCTCAGGGTGGCTGCCAGTCTCTCCTGGAGACTGGAGCATGACCAGGGAACTAATGAGGCGGCAGGGTGAGGTGGGAGCGAGGGAAGTAGCCACAGCAGCTGCTGCTGTCCACTGTCACCCTGGGGTGTAGATGTCACCTTGGGGAGTACCCACCCACCCCAAGTGTGCGGTTGTGTGTGTGTGCAGACAGTCCTGGGCAAGGGCAAACAGCAGAGGTGCTGAGCCAAGACTAGATGGGTAGGGCATGGTGCCCACTCTGAGACAGGCACAATGGCAGAAGAGTGAACCCTGCTGTTCCTCAGGCTCCCGTAGCCCCTCTGCAGGGGGCCTCACTGTTAGGAAGAAGCCCAAGACCTAGAGCTAAAGTTAGAGGAAAATCATGCTTCTTTTCTTCTTTTTTTTTTTTTTAACCCTAATACAGATTTTGGTAGGAAAATCGTTTCTTTATGAATCTCAGAAGAACAGCAAAGTGGTTTGCACGGAAGCTTATGTTAATGATAGTGATACTAACCATATGATGAATAACCACTAGCATGCATTGGGCGCTTACTATGTGCAAGGCACTGCGCCAACTGCTGTATTTTATGCGGCAGGAACTGTTATCATTCATCCAACAAGGAAAGTGAAGTTCACAGAACTTGCTCAAGGTCACTCGTAGCTGGCAGTGAAGCCAGGACCTAAGCCTTGGAAATCTGATGCCAAAGCTTGGGATAGAGGGGGCCCGAGTCTAGAGTTGGGGGCCGTGAGGGAATTCTAGTTGTGACCCATCTACAAGGCACAAGGAATGGAGCTGTGGTCCTGCCCAGCCTGCCTTTGCAGGTGGGCTGGTGTCAGCCAGGGTCATTGCCACTGTTCTGTCTTCAGGAACTCACATTCAAGGGCACACCAGACGCTGGGCTCTGAGAGGCTGGTTCTTGCCTGCCAGGCAACATGAGAGGAGAGCTGCTCCGCTAGGACTCCTCAGTCTTCCTCAGGGAGGAGGTGGTGGCCCCTCGCAGGGATGACAGATAGCGAGGTCACCACCTACCGTCACTGCCACTGCCACTGTTGCCTCCTTCAGCCCGGGGCAGGGCCCTGGGGAGAGGAGAGGACTGCAGCCAGAAGCCCAGCTGGAGAAGGGGGAGCCTGGCGAGGAAGGCTGTCTTGATTTGGTTTTGCAGGGGGAGGGTGCAGGACATGAAGACCAAGGAGGTTGCTTTGAGGGGGATCCGCTGACAGGTGGCAGCCAGTCCTCGTGCCCAAGGAGCACAGACCCTCTCTGCGGGACACATGTGCCCCCTAGTGGGGATTACAACTGCAGGGGCCGAGAAAATTAAAACCAAAAAGATTTGCTGACAGACTCAGCCTATGAGCCTGGGTAGGAGAGGCCAATCCTGTCCCTATGTCAACACACACACACAGATATACACACACACACACAGATATACACACACATTCACACACAGACAATTCACACACACGTTCACACATATACACAGACATACACATATACATACAGTCACATACATACACACACACATTCACACACACATACACATTCAGACATCCACATACGCAGACACATAACATACACACACATTCACACAGACACAGATACACACACATAATCACAGATACACATACACACCTACACAAACACATACATACACATACACCCATATGCACACACTTACACATACACATACACACTTTCACACACACACAGACATATACACAGACATATATACATAGACATACACACATACAGATACACATACACACATATATGCACACACGGACACACAGACACACACAGACATATACATACACACAGACACACATATACTTAATATATACAGAGGCAGAAGCCATTTTTAACTAAGCGTTAAAATAATGTGTTCATTTGGTCATTTATTTAACAAGCATGCTCTGGGAACCTGCAATGTACAAACCCTGTGTCAGCTGTCAGGATTGACACCGCGAGGAAAGAGAGACTCTGCCCTGCCGGTTGGTCCTATAGGAAGGCCCCAGCTTAGGTGGCCTACTTCTGCCAGACCAATCCTGCCTGTCCCTGTGACCTTTTGTTCTCTGGACCTTGGTTTCCCCATTTGATAAACATTCGTCAAGCCCCAGCGGGCTGGGGTGAGGATGCGAAGGACTAATGATCTCCTCCGGAAAATGACTGTTTCGTAAAATGAAGGGGATGGACCAGAAGCTCTCTGGGGGCTCCACCGACTTTCCCAATTGAAAGCGACTATAATGAACTGTGTCTGGAGGTGCTGTGTGCCAGGCCCTGTGGATCCAGAAGCGGATTAAGACCTTCTGCCACTTAACAACCAGAAAACTGGGCAAAATATAGGAAACAGACACTTGACAACAGGCAGCACACAGGACACTGACCCCACGACTGCCTGGAACCAGGTCCCTGACTACGGTTTAGGGAGGAAAACCTAAGTGGATCATAGCGGCTTTGCTACGGTGAGGAGACAATCAGAGGTCGAGACAGTGTGCGATTCTTCAGGACACACACACAGATCAACGGAATCCAAAAACAGATGCAGCAAAGGTAATCCAATGGAGAAAGAAAGGTCCTTTCAACAGGATACAAAAAGCACTAACCAGAAAAGAAAAATCAGTGCATTGGACTTCATCAAAATGAAACCTCTGCTCTTGGAAAGACTGGGAGTAAATATTTGCCAAACAAAACTCTGAGAGAGGACTTGTATCCAGGATACTTAAAGACCTTTTACAGTTCGATAATAAGACAGCCCAATAAAACAGTGGGGAAAGGTTTTAATATACACTACAACAAAATCATACATACAGCAAATACATCAAAAGACGTTCAACATGTGGCCAGGCACAGCGGCTCACACCTGTAATCCCAGCATTTTGGGAAAGACAGATGTTCAATATGCAAATCAAAAGCCCAATGAGATACCACTGCATGCCCACCAGAGGGATTGAAGCTGAAGGCTGACCATAGTAAGTACTGTCCAAGATGTGACCTTGTCATATATCATATACTGCTGGAGACTGATGAAGTGTTACAACCACCTGGGAAACCAGCGTGGCAGTGACAGAGGCATCTGTGGTTGACTGGGACCAGGGTTAGATATGGGGGTTGACTACAAGGCTAAGAAGTTTTTTTTTTTTTTTTTTTTTTAGACAGAGTTTCACTCCTGTCACCCAGGCTGGAGTGCCATGGCGCAATCTCGGCTCACTGCAACTTCTGCCTCCTGAGTTCGAGTGATTCTCCTGCCTCAGCCTCCCAAGTAGCTGGGATTACAGGCACCCGCAACCATACCTGGCTAATTTTTTGTCTTTTTAGTAGAGACAGGGTTTTGCCATGTTGGCCAGGTTGGTCTCAAACTCCTGACCTCAGGTGATCCACCTGCCTCGGCCTCCCATAGTGCTGGGATTACGGGCATGAGCCACCAGCCCTGCCTAAGAAGGTGATTTTTTGGTGACAAAAGTGTTCTAAATCTTAACTGGGATTGTGGTTACATGGGTGTATACACTTCCTGGACTACTGAACCATACATTGTAAATGGTTACACTGCATTGTGTGTAAATTACACCAGAATAAAGATGACACAGAGACTTAGAATGAAGACTGATACTTGTTTTGCTCACCATCTAGCAGAAAAGCCAGACATACAAATAATCATAAGAGTGGGATGAGTGTTCAAAGTATGTTGAAATAACATAAACTCCCATTTATCAAGTGCTTACCTTGCACCAGGCACTGTGCTAAGTGCTCTGAAGCACTGACTTAACGACCTCCAGTGAGGTTTGGCTCCTCTTCCTCCTCCTCCGATGAGAAAATGAGACTCAGAAGTGAGGTGACCTTTGCCAAGGTTACTCAGCTAGAATCAGTAGAGCTGGGATTTTCCTTCAGGTCATCCTGGATTGCAGAAAATGTGCTAATCCACCTGTCAGCAGAAAGGTACCACGAGGAAACAGCTCGGAAATTGTTGCAGCATCTCAGTCAAGACTTCGCAGAGGAGGTACTTAAGTACCAGCTGGAATCTGCTGAGCAGGGAAGAAGATGCAAGGAAGGGACTTTCAAGGCAAAAGGAATAAACACCATCACAAGCTAAAGGTTATGCAACAGCTGTGAGAAGGCAGAGGTTTCTGGGCATGGAGAGACGTGTCCAGGAAATGACAGAAGAGATCCATGGAACATTATATCGTCTCCAAATGCATTTATTTTTATTTTTTAAAAATCAATTTTTGAGTGATAATCTAGAGGCAGTGACTCTTCCAAGCAGGGATGTCAAATGCGTTGCTTTTCTTCCCGGACTCTGCTGGCGGGCACAGATAATCCACAACTCCAAGGTCATCTATTCTCAATGCATAGGGTCTATGTTATGTTTCTCCTCCTCCAGAAAGTTAAAGCTAAGTTAAACTTAATGCAGTGATCCCAGTTTTATGTTTTATTTTTATATTTTTACTTTTCTTCCATCTGCCTGGTCATCTGCATGATCCCAGATATCTGAGTAGGATCTGTGACCCTGTTTCACGGTCCCAAGAACTCTCAGGAAAAAAATCCTCTACGTTTTCATGACGGGCTTTCTAGGGGGATGAATTAAAATCTCTGGAGTTAAGCAAAAACGTTCCACTGTCATAGTGTAATTTTTGTAGGAAACAGGGCATGGTGGCTGAGACCATGGGTTTTTAGGCTGGATTGAGTTCAGGTCTCAATGCCTTCACCTGTGAATTCCTTTAACGTTTCTGTACCTTGGCTTCCTCAGCTGCAAAATGGGTGGGTGGGGGGGATAATGGCAGGGCTGTCATGAGAATCAGATGAGACAGTGAATAAAATGTGTTTGGAGGGTACCTGGCGCGGAGTAAACGCTTCGTACACACAGCTGCTATTATTTCAGAAAGGAAGCTTGCACACGAGCTCATCTTCTGTCTTCTGCCATGATCCATTCTTCCGGGAAGAATTATTTTTAAAAGATATCATTTAGGATGATTTGACTGAAACAGAACACCCAAATTAAAATGACTTAATTTCTTTTCAAAATCTCACATTTTGTAATTCACTCAAACTGAGATGCCATTGCTTGTAAGACACATCCTGCATTTAAGAATATGAAAATGCAGCCCGGCATGGTGGCTCATGCTTGTGATCCCAGCACTTTGGGAGGCTGAGGTGGGTGGATTACCTGAGGTCAGGAGCTCGAGACCAGCCTGGCCAAGATAACCAAACCCCTTTCTCTACTAAATATACAAAAATTAGCTGGGCATGGTGGTGCACACCTGTAATCCCAGCTACTAGGCTGAGGCAGAAGAATCACATGAACCCAGGAGGTGGAGGTTGCAGTGAGCTGAGATCATGCCACTGCATTCCAACCTGGGAGACAAAAGCAAACCTCTGTCTCAAAAAAATATATATATAGTACATATATATATCTGTACAAACCTGTCTCTGAATCAAAACAAGGTCTGAATTGTGGGGGTGTTGAGACTGGGGTTTCCGAACACTGAGGACTCATGTTCTTTCTTCTCTCTACTCTGCCATCGCAGTCCTTCGGCTCCTGCTTAACGGAAGCCTCACACATGCAAGACGGCTCCAGCAGGCCCAGCATCACTTCTTCACGGTGTCCCTAAGCCAGAAGAGAGGCTGTTGTTTTTAAAAGCAGGAAAGCCTTCCTAAACTTGGCCAGAATTGCATTGCAGACCCTTTCCCAAAACAATGTCCAGCAAAGGGAATAGACTCACCCTATCTGGTACAGATGAATCAAGGTCTGCCCCTGGGGCTAGGGAGGGGCTTGCTCCTGCTGAAGCAGACCCTCGCCCAGCAGCTGAAGAGAGCGTAGGCTCATCAGCTGGAGGAAGAGACTGGCCACTAACAGTGCCTGCCATACACATGTGCTTCCTTGATATTGCTGCTGCCCACTGTTCAGATGTAAGCAGTCAGCTGCTTGGGATACTACCTACCTTCTTCTGTGTTCTTATTAACAAAATTAAGGATTCTGTTCTGGGTTGAGAAATAATCTCAATATTCTAAAGACTGTTTGCTTTATTTTTAGGGTTTTTTTCTTTTTTTGAGACAAGGTCTTGCTCTGTCACCCTTGCTCAAGGTGACGGAGCAAGGGTGACAGAGAAAGACTTTGTCTCAAAAAAGAGAGGCTTGTCATGGCTCACTGCACAGCCTCAATCTCCCGATCCTCCCACCTCAGCCTCCTGTCCAGCTGGGACTACAGGCATGTGCTACGACACCTGGCTGTTTTATTTTTTAAAAATTTTTTATAGAGATGGGGATCTCCCTATGTTGCTCAGGCTGGTCTTGAACTCCTGGGCTCAAGCGATCCTCCTGCTTTGGCTAACCAAAGTGTTGGGATTATGGGCATGTGCCACTGCGACCAGCCTAAAGACTCTGTTTTCTATTACTGTGGGTTTCAGACACCATGTCTTCAACCCTGTCAGTGACTGCCTCAACACAGTGGGCCTGCTGACCAGATTTTCCCTTTGCACTCAGAGCCTGTGTCCCTGAACAGCACTTGGGACTTCGCCTTCGTGCTTGTAAAGGGTTACTAGACTGTGACTCTTTCCATGTCAATAAACAGGGGTCTGCACTAGCCTTGTATAATGGCTCTATAATAATTCTACGGTAGGTAAAACTCAGATGTCCTAGCTCTCACCAGCAATGAGTGCAAATGACATCACAGTAACATCAACACTTCAGTCTCAACAGCTCAGCCCTTGCCGGCTCATTCAGGAATTCTGATGCTTTCTCTGAAGTTTCCCCAGTTATTTCTGGGTTGGCTGTGCAGTTACTTCATGTGTGCTCAGGTATGAGGCCTTTCACTGTATTTCACTCCAGCCTCCTGGTCACTGCCCGGCTGCCCTAGCATCCCCATCCGCCACGAGCCTACTGCTGGGGAAGTGGTGTCCAGTCAGGTATGAAAGTGACTTGGTGGCCCGTGGCAGAGTGAAGAATGTGAAGAATGGCCCTCACCATACACTGGGTGGCATCTTGGCCCAATGTGGCCCCGCTAGAGCCCGGAGCCTCCGTCTTCCACACATCAGCCCTGCAGCCTCCCCTCCCCACTCTTCCTGCCACAGAGTGGCTCCAGTGGCAGAGCAGGTGCTCGTCGTTCCTCCTTTCAACCTCGTTTCTGATTTTGTTCCCAACCACCCCTACAAACACATGAAAATCTTCTTCCTTCTCTCTTCCTCTTCCAAAATAAAAGTCCTTATACTAAGATCACCTTATTCATTACTAGTAAAAGCATGAATTCTACAGGCTGGGAGCAAATCCTGACCCTGCCAGTTACAGGTTATGTGAATTTGGGCAAGTTACCAAATTTCCCAGTGCTTCCGTTTCTTTATCTGTGAAATGGGGGCAGTGACAGTTACCAGGGAGGGGTCCTGATCCAGACCCCAAAAGAGGGTTCTTGGATCTTGAGCAAGAAATAATTTGGGGTGAGTCCATAAAGTGAAAGCAAGTTTATTAGAAAAGCAATGGAATAAAAGAATGGCTACTTGGCTGGGCAGAGTGGTTAAGCCTCTAATCCTAGCACTTTGGGAGGCCCAAGCAGGCAGATCACGAGGTCAGGGGTTTGAGACCAGTCTGGCCAACATGGTGAAACCCCATCTCTACTAAAAATACAAAAAATCGCCGGGCATGGTGATGCGTGCCTGTAATCCCAGCTACTTGGGAGGCTGAAGAATTGGTTGAACCCAGGAGGCGGAGGTTTGCAGTGAGCTGAGACAGCACCACTGCATTCCAGCCAGGGCTAGAGAGCGAGACTCCATCTCAAAAACAAATAAATAAATAAAAATAAAAAGAGACTTCTGCCCTTGAAGAGCTTACACCCAAATGAAAGGAGGTAAACATAAGCAAAGGTGATGATTTGAAGATACGTATCTGCAACATATTACCACCTGCAGGACAATATAATCCACACCAAAGGCCATAGTAATGAGTGGATGGGAATGGGGAGACTGGAATGCAGAAGAGGCTCTTGGTCTTGCAAATTTAAACTAACTTCCAAATAGGGGCAAATTCTGGCCCTGGTTGTTGTCGTTTTTGCCTTATTTTTATTTAAAAAATGAAGCCAGACTAGGCGCAGTGACTCACCTTTGTAATCCCAGCACTTTAAGAGGCCAAAACAGGAGGATTGCTTGAGGCCAGGAGTTTGAGACCAACCCAGGCAACACAGTGTGAAACCTACTTCATCTATACGAAATAAAAATAATCAGCCGGGCGTGGTGACGCTCGCCTGTCATCCCAGCCATTCGGGAAGCTGAGGCGGGAGGATCACTTGAGCCCAGGAGGTCGAGGCTGCAATGAGCTATGATTGCACCACTGCACTCCAGCCTGAGTGCCGGGGTGAAAACCCTGCCTCAAAAACAAACCAAAAAAACCCAGAAACAAACAAAAAAATGAAGCCAAGGTGGTTGCCTGGAAAATAACACTCAGAAGAGGGGTGAATGTTACATCATTCTCCGTTCTTTTCGTAATTCCACTCGTGACACTCGCCTGTTTTCCTTTCTCGGAATAAAAAGCACGCTCGGCCTGGGCAGCCGCCGAGGCCAAGCCCCGTCGCTCTCGAGCGCCCCCTGCCGTCTGCGCCTGGGCCTCACCCCAATCTTAAAAACACCTGAGCTGGAGGTTGCACGATTTTCTTGGAATCTCTCTTCTTCACTATCCCAATGAACCACCCCAAATACCTCTATCCTCCCTCAAACAAAATACACAAAGCAATTAAAAAAAGATATTCGGCCGAGCCCCGGTTTCCTCATCCGTCCCTGCCCCCTCGAACTTTCTGTGTTTCCCGTCTCGGCCAGGGACAACCTGTGCTGAAGCTCAATGACTTTACGGCAGCAGCGACCCTCTAGCTTCGTTTTCTGACAGCCGTGGTTCTTCACAGGCCTGGTTTCCCATCCCGACCCTCCACTGCCGCTGGTGGCGACCACCACCATCTTACCCCCGGCTCTACAGTCGCGCTGAGGACGCGGCCGGCCCCCAGCCACCGCGGTTTTGAACTACATTTCCCTTCAGCCCTTTCTCAACATCGCGAGAGTTCCGGAGGGATTGTCGGGAAGACTTGCATGCAGGCGCGATCTCGCGTTCTTTTCGCTGTCGGCCGCGTGGCTGAAAGTCATGGTTGGTCCCGTCGGTGTTGAGCATGGCCAACAGCCTCAGGCATTTGTCATGGTAAGGCTGCCTGAATGGAAAAATGGGGTCTTCCTTGACACAGCACTAACACACTTGGTCTCCCTTCCTCAGAGACGAAGTGGTGATAAGCTCGGCTTCTCCCTCATAGGGTGGTTGGGAGGGTTAACAAGTACTGGATGAGAAAATGCTTTCCAGGCGGCGAGAAAATGTTATGTGAAGGGAGAAAGCTCAAGCCCGTCCTCGGCGTTACAGGGCCGGCTTCTGCCGGGGAGAGATCCTAATAACCTAGGCAGCCCCGTGCCCCTCAGCCGCGCGTGTGCTGAGCGTGGGCGCCCGGGGGTCTTTGGTGTCCGCGTACAGGCAAACTTTGACGGTGGTGGTTCTCAATTCAGCATCAGTATTTTTAACGTGTGAAGACATGATTCCACTTGGAGTGCTTTGAGGACGGCCTCGATCGGTAGTTTATATTTAACTTTACAGATAGGAATCAATAGGATTGCAGACTTATTCTTGAAAGCCACGGTTTTAACACGAGCCTTTCTTCCTTCCTCAGAAGCCCTTCTTTGGCATCTGCAGATACGGTGAAAAGCAGAGTTCCAGGTTGAAGGTTCACAGTAATGGATGGAGCCCTAACATGAGTTAAAATGGGTGCAGGCAGGGCCTGAGTGGTCGCCAGAAATGAGAAAGCAGAGTTGGTCCCATCACATACATTCACCTCCTGCTTTATTCTGAAGTTAGAATGTGAGAATACGTGTTGACATACAAGCCAGCTATGGTAAGAAATTACGCAGAATTCAGAATGCTAATTATTTTAATGATAAAAATGAGGGTCCCTGCCCAAGTAATTTGGGGCCACTAGGTGTCACTGTCGCCAACGTGGATCCTTGTCAGGGCATGCAGGGGTGAAAGAGGGACGTGGAAAATGCATTTTGGATCGCTGGGATTTAGGAATCTTTGTTATTGGCTGAGCTGAGGATGATTTAAAGTTATCCCTGTCTGAAGTGACATCTTTTGTGAGGAGATCTGACTTGCTGAGGCTCAGCCTTTTAATACAAGTCTGGAGAATAAACCTTAAGGGGGTTTCTGTTAGAATTAAGCCTGTCATCCTTCTCTTAGATTAAAGGTGTTGGCCGTGGTCTTGAAAGCAGTCATGTGAAAACTCATCACTTAAAGATGTTAAGTGTAAGGATCTTCATGATGAAATTTCTGTAAATGGTAAGATTTTTATTTCTTTCATAGAATTGAATAGCCGATGGTCTCCTTTAAGTATTGGTCCTTTTTTTTTTTTTTTGAGACAGAGTTTCACTCTTGTTACCCAGGCTGGAGTGCAATGGCGCGATCTCGGCTCACTGCAACCTCCGCCTCCTGGGTTCAGGCAATTCTCCTGCCTCAACCTCCTGAGTAGCTGGGATTACAGGCACGTGCCACCATGCCCAGCTAATGTTTTGTATTTTTAGTAGAGACGGGGTTTCACCATGTTGACCAGGATGGTCTCGATCTCTTGACATTGTGATCCACCCGCCTCGGCCTCCCAAAGTGCTGGGATTACAGGCTTGAGCCACCGCGCCAGGCTAAGTATTGGTCTTTAGTTTTGGAGATGTGTGGGTCCTCCAGAGTTATGATTGCGCAGATAATGGAAGTAGTGTGGGAATCCTTTTGCTAGGGTCCTTGGCAAGCACTCTCACAAATAGTATTTGTAATAACAATCCCACATGAGGTAAATTTTTTTCCCCACTGTAATGCTGAATAAGTAAAAGTGAGGCTGACAGAGTTCTCTTTCCCAAAGTTAAGCAGTTACTGAGTTAGATTAGACCAGTGGTTCTCAACTGGGGAGAGAGGGTGTTCCTGGCATCTGGTGAATGGTACTATTAATAAATATCCTGGCCAGGCATGGTGAATCACCTGAGGTTAGGAGTTCGAGACCAGCCTGGCCCACATGGTGAAACCTCGTCTCTACTAAATATACAAAAATTAGCTGGGTGTGGTGGCGGGCACATGTAATCCCAGCTGCTCAGGAGACTGAGGCAGGAAAATCACTTGAACCCAGGAGGCAGAGGTTGTAGTGAGCTGAGATCGCCCCATTATACTCAGGGTTAGTGATTTCCAAACTTAACTGCATGTCAGAACCACCCAAAAAGTGTTAAAACATACACATTCCTGGGCCTCACCTCTAGGAATGGGTGCGAATGGCTCTGGAGTGGAGTCGAGGAATCATGTGGCCAGTCCAAGAGCAAATGGGTGGTGGTAACTAGCTCAGGGTCTTCAATCTATTGGCTTCCCTGTGCCACGTTGGAAGAATTGCCTTGGGCCACACATAAAATATACTAACACTAATGATAGCTGATGGGCTAAAAGAAAAAAATCTGTGTTTTAAGAAAGTTTACAAATTTGTATTGGGCTGCATTCAAAGTCATCCTGGGCCACATGCAGGCTGTGAGTCAGACAAACTTGAATTAGATGATCTGATCTGTTTTTAGCGCAAGGATTTTGTTATAGTGAGATTATAGTGCTGGCTATTTTTAAGTAGCTCCGGCGGATCTCTAATCCCCTGTCTAAAACACTGAGCTACATGCTTGCTGCTTGCCCTGCAGGGCAGTTTTACATACACAGTTGGATGAAATGGATATGACCTGTGTGACGTCGCTTCTTGGCAGCAGGTACTGTTTGTGTAGCTGGTCTTGAATAGGCTAGCTGAAATGATGAGTGGTCTGCACTGTAGCAGGCATTGTACCGACCACCTAGAGAGACACTGGAAGGGATGCCCCCTACTCAGCTACCAGCCACTGTTGGGAGGGAGCTGGTCTTTCAAAGGGCAGGAACTGCCAGTGTGCCAGATCTGGACACTGGGTGCATCAACCAGACACTAGCTATGCCCTCGAGAGAAAACATAGTCTAATAAAGCAGACGCGATCGGCTAAGAGTTCACATGACGAGGGCTGGGCACGGAGGCTCATGCCTGTATTCCCAGCACTTGACGAGGCTGAAGCAGGCAAATCGCTTGATGCCAAGAGTTCAAGACCAGCCTGGCCAACATGGTGGGACCCTGTCACTACTAAAAGTAGAAAAACTAGCTCGGCGTGGTGGTGCACCCTTGTAACCCCTGCTGCTTGGGAGGCTAAAGCACGAGAATCACTTGAACCTGGGAGGTGGAGGTTACAGTGAGCTGAGATCACACCACTGCACTCCAGCCCGGGTGACGGAATGAGACTTTGTCTTAAGACTTTGCGTAAGGAAAGTGAACAATTTGATAAGAAAAAAATAGTTTGCATGTGCTGTGGCAGTTAGTGCTGTGGGCCAGCAGGTTAGTGGGAGCTGAGTCCATGATGATGTCGAGTTATCCCTGTCCGAAGGCAAAGAGAGGCCTTTCTGTGTGGAATTTGAATGTCTGAAACTCAGTTTCCCAAGTTTGCCTTACAGAAAATTTAAGAAAGCTGCCTGAGAGTTATACTCTGCGTGTATCTTAATTAGTTTTTTTTCTTAATTTCTCTTCCTTCCCAGGTGTAGTCAGCCTCAGTTTCCAAGGCTGGAAAAGGATCCTCTCGTAGCCACATTGTGGGCGCTGCCATGAACCAGGACCTGACCTGGACCCAAAGTACCATGTCTTTAATGCATGTAAGTAGATGAACTGCTAAACAGGCTTGGTGTGGGGGACTGGTCATCTTTTTTGCTTCCCCTGCTCTGGACTTAAAGCAGTATATGCCAAGGGGCGGGGAGGCTTTGGTAGTGTTTTGTTGCTAGGTGTCTGCAATAAGACATAAAACTGGACTGCTTTGCCGGACGCAAGTGAAATGATTGCTTTCCTGTTTGTAAGCTTTATGTTTTTACATCTTGCATATCCCTAAGAAGTCCTACAAGCCTGTGGTGGTTAGGTATCCCTGTCTGAAAACCTTGACTGAGAGAAACAATCTATTCTGAGGCTTCAGGGTTTGGTTCTGTGGTTTTTTGTTTGTCTCCCCCCTACCCCACCTTTTTGTTTTCAGCATTTCCTGCTGAGGGCCCAGTTGAGAGCATCATCCCCCTAAGACAGGAAAGCCAAATGTGTGGTTGCCTTGCTTTGCTTTAGCTCCTTGATTATGGCTCTGAGGGTACAGGCTGTATGATGGGGCAGGAATGGACAAGTGGCCAGGATTTGGTTTATGCTCTTACTGTGGAATGAAAGTGCTTGTTACGTATTTCAAGAAAATGAATGCACTCTTAGAAGCAGATTGGAATGTGGGCTGTATGCCAGCTTGTGGCCATGAGAATGGTTCATGACTCTGACCTTGCCTCTGCTCCAGGGTCCTGACATTTAGGGGAAACCACAGCTGTTTGGTTTCCAGGTGCTTTGTTTAAGGGTGCCAGGGAGGTCTCCTAAGTTTGCAGCTTAGATCCTGTCTGAATGCCACTGCTGGCATGTGAGCAAGAAAGAAGCAAAGTGGCCCTGGAGGCTGGGGGACCTGGCTTTGTTCCCATTTGAACGCCAGGCTGGAAGTACACAAAGACTGCCTTTCTTTTCTGTCGAAATTGGGAGGTGTGTGCAAACTCTTTGTATTTAAGGTTGCATTTTTGCTAGACGCCAAAGAAGCTATATTCTGGGTGAAATTTAATGAACCTAAAAACTGCCCCCAGTAATTTACAGCCTGCAAGTAAAACAGTGAAAAGGGCAGGTTATCAAGTGGTTATTGTCTGCTGAGTGGATGTGGCTACAGAACTCACAGGTAACCATAAGATTTGACTTGAAATGTTTCTATCCAGAGGGAGTGCTTTCTAATAGTTCTTTACTGGTCTCTTACCAGAAACTGCTCCCTCAGAGGTACCGTCTGCCTAAAATTAGTCATCCTGGGTCCCCACTAGCCTGCACGGAAACGATGTCAGAATGCCCGTTCTGCTCCCCGCGTGCACACATGCGTAATGGTGGTGAGAATGAGTGCTCTTAGACTGATTACCTTTTCCTCCCAAATTAGCTGTTATACAGCATTCAGTTTTGAGTCACTTCCTTAGCTGCTACTTCAAATTATTCTCCTGTTTTACAGGTTAGCTCCCAGCGATGCCAGATGGGATCGGCACAGCCTTGCCTCTGTGGCTAATTGTTCCTCTAAAGTAATCGCCATGCGTTCTTTGGGCTTCATCTTTAAAGGAATGAAGTGACTAAGATTATTCTGGAAAACCTTTTGGCAGTTAGTGAAATTAGAATACAACCAAGAACATTTTCAGACCTTCGCTATGGATGACCTGGGTATACTCTCACAAATCGATGGGACAACATGGGTTATAAACTGAAGTTAACATGACTCTACTCTGTCGGAGGACCTCAGGGGAAACTGATGAGTTGCAGAGAGTGATGCTTAACCCCGGTACACAGGATGCCAGCTTGTGTTTCCTCTTTTTACTTATCCACTAAATTGATTTTCTGATCTGCTAATGGGTTGCCACCCACAAACACTGCTTTAGCACTTTTACTTCAAATCAATGAAGGATTGATTAGAGTTCTCCTGGTGCCTCCACAGAGTGGCTGCCGGGAACAGATAATGGTTTGCATAGAATATCAGTGGTGTTGTTTCACATAGTGGTCAGAAAATATCTAGTGTTGGCTCACTAAGATAATCAGGTTCCTTTCTCCTTTTTCTTTTCTTTTTTTTTTTTTTACATTTTNCCAGGCTGGTCTTGAACTCCTGATTTCAAGTGACCTGACCACCTTCACTTCCCGCAGTGCTTGGATAACAGGTGTGAGCCACGGCATCCGGCTTTAATTTTTTTATTTATTGAGACAGTCTTGTTCTGTCACCCAGGCTGGGAGTGTAGTGCTATGATCTCTGCAACCTCTATTTCCCAGGTTCAAGTGATTCTTGTGCCTCAGCTTCCCAAGTAACTGGGACTACAGGCGCACACCACCATGCCTGGCTAATTTTTTGTGTTTTAGTAGAGACAGGGTTTTACCCTGTTGCCCAGGCTGGTCTTGAACTCCTGAGCTCGATCTGCCCACCTCAGCCTCCCAAAATGCTAGGATTACAGGTGTGAGCCGCCACACCTGGCCATTTTTCCTTTTTTAAAATTTTAAAGTTGGGGTTTTACTCTGTTACCCTAGCTGGTTTCGAACTCCTGGACTCCAGCGATCCTTCAGCTCCAAGCCCACTACCAGCCTCAAGTTTCTTTACTAAAAGATCACAACATAAGATACAAGGATGGACTGTGACTGTTGAGGGCTGCCTTACGTATCCCGCATTTGACTACATTCTTTCCAAACCAAGTAAACCCAAAGGAACATAACTGCTATCGTGGGGACCAAGGAGGAACTGTTAAAGATTGCCAGGGTCAAGGGAGCTGAGAGGCTTTGTGCTGGTGCCAGCAGCTCTGAAATGTCTCTGAATTCCTGCTGTCCAGGCAGCAGAATGCCATGGTTTCTTCTAAGTAGCTGCTTTGGCAAGTAAAGCCCAAATGTCTATTCTGTTGATCAGAGGTCTCTGAATTTCTGAAGTGGTGTTTTGTTTCTGGTGACTGAGTTAATCCCCATCCCTCTTGTAAAGTGTGTTGATAGAATCAGCCTTTCAAAGCTACAGAAGCAGATTGTGCCCTAAATTGACCAACATGATTGATGTTGCCTTGGGAAGGCTCTTGCCAGCTGTCCCTGTGAAGACACTCCCGCTGCCTTGCACACTGAAGTATCTCAGACTGCAAAGCCATTTAGTCATCAGGACTAAACCCCAGGGCTTGATTAAGTGCTGTGTGGTAACTTGTTTGGATGAGACTTCTTTAAAACCACTCACAATAAAATTAGGAAACTACTGTCAGCTAAGTTCAAATTTACTGAAGCCATGATACGAGGATGAGGGTTTATTAGCTGGTAGCATCGTCATCCTGTTGGTGACAAGGTGGTAATAATGGTTTTTGTTTTTTGGAAACGGAGTTTCGCTCTTGTTACCCAGGCTGGAGTGCAATGGCGCGATCTCGGCTCACCGCAACCTCCGCCTCCTGGGTTCAGGCAATTCTCCTGCCTCAACCTCCTGAGTAGCTGGGATTACAGGCACGCACCACCATGCCCAGCTAATTTTTTGTATTTTTGGTAGAGACGGGGTTTCACCGTGTTGACCAGGCTGGTCTCGATCTCTTGACCTCGTGATCCACCCGCCTCGGCCTCCCAAAGTGCTGGGATTACAGGCATGAGCCACCGCGCCCAGTGGTAATAATGTTTCTAATGGGGCTTCCCTCAGTGGCAGGCAGGCTGCCAAGCAACTAACCCCCATCAAGTGCCAGACCCCTCCAGTGTTCTTGAATTTTGAGTGATCTCCATATTAAAACACCCTGCATTTTATATGATTTATCTACCCAGCCAAAAAAAAAAAGACAAAATGGTGATCCATTGTGTACACAGTTACCTAGTCTCCAGTTACATTCTGCCTTTTGTTCTCCCACTTTATTATGGAGCAGAGGTAAGTCTAGCATGTTCTCAGAAAGGCTCTTAAGAGGTGTTCTGGAGTCCCTGAATCACTTTAGCCTCCAGTAGGATGCCCCCCAGAGGATTTGAGCTGCAGCAGGTGGCTTTGCTTCTTGCCTGGACTGCTGTTTGATCTTGGTGAGCACTCCACTGACATTTCCTAAAGTTGCTTGGTGCAAATCCAGCAAAACAGTCTGTCTTCCCTTGGCCAAAATTGAGATGTATTGTTTTAGATGCATAGAGGAGTTTCCTTGGATGAGCCAAGGACAAGTTGGGGTGTCCTGCACTGAACAGGCCTCTCGTCAATTCACCCGAGTGCCTTCTGTTGGAAAAAAGGGAAGGTGAAGCCTCTCAAGATTGAGAAGTTAAGAAAAAGGCTTTTGGCCACTTGAGAGGATCGGGGCCACGGTTCTGTAAGAGGCAAAGGCTCAGTACCTTGGTGTCAGCGCTGATAGAGCCGAAGGATGCCGGCCTGGTGCAGATCCCTCCACAGGGCGGCTTCCAGGGACAGATCATGGTTTGCGTAGAATATCAATGGCTTCTTTTTCCGTTCAAAGTAGTGGTCAGAAAATTTCCAGTAGTTGCTTGTGATGAATCCATAGGCACTGACCTGGGCAAGGGTAGCCATTGGGTTAGTATTTATTGAGTGCCTACTGTGTACAAACAGACTCGTGTGACGTGACATGAGTTTAGAAAGGTGTCCCCCTGCTAAGGTGAGAATGTAGGAAGTGGTCTAGGGCTTATTCCCACATAGCAAGTAGGGAGACAGATTCAGCGGTGACTTACTTTCCCCACTTGCACAGCTGGTGATTGACAGCTGCATTTGGAATTTGAGGGTGGAGGCAAAAGCCCATTACTACTCTCCCCATCCTAATTGGGGATTGCAGTTAAGACACTCCTGCATTTTTTGAGATGGAGTCTCGCAGTTGCACAGGCTGGAGTGCAGTGGCGCAATCTTGGCTCACTGTAACTTCTGCCTCCCAGGTTCAAGTGATTCTCCTGCCTCAGCCTCCTGCGAACTGGGATTACAGGTATGCACCACCACGCCTGGGTAATTTTGTATTTTTAGTAGAGCCTGTTTCACCGTGTTTGCCAGGCTGGTCTTGAACTCCTGACCTCAGGCGATCCACCTGCCTCCGCCTCCCAAGCGCTGGGATTACAGGCATGAACCACCATGCCCTGCTACTCTTGTATTAAAATAGGAAGAGGCCTAGTGTGGTGGCTCATGCCTGTAATCCCAACACTGGAAAGCTGAGGTGGCAGGATAACTTGAGCTTGGAAATTTGAGACCAGCCTGGGCAACATGGTGAGATCCTGTCCCTACAAAAAGTAAAGACTAGCTGACGGGCAGCTACTTGGGAAGCTGAGGTGGGAGGATCATCACACCATTGCACTTAAGCCTGGGTGACAGAGTGACACCCTGTCTCAAAAAAAAAAAAAAAAAAAGAGGGAAAAGGTGTAGGCCCGAGTTGTGGAGTGGCATTTGGCCTCCAGCTCTGCAAACCAGCTTTAGCATGGGTCACAGCCTCTCCTTGAAAGCTGCTGCTCAGCCCCTGCCTCCACGAGTTTCACATGGGCAAATCCCATCAGGAATGATTTAGGGTGATTTCAAAGTATTTGTGTGTGGGAGGCTAAACCTGCTGCCCCACCCCAGCTCTAGGATGTCCCCATAGAAGAATGGCCCTGTTCGGCCCAGTGTGTTGAAGAGATTGGCTTTCAGAAGGGCAGTTAGATGACTTGAGCCTTAAATACCATATTGAGTGGCTGCCTTGGAGAAGAGCAAAGAAAGAAGGAAACCTGGGGCAGATGTCAGGAGCCAAGGCAAGGCTGGCCCAGGACCTGTCCTTTTAAAGGCCCCCTGTATGGCGGCAAGGAAGTGGGCAGCACCAGCACTCTTGGAGCTGGGGGTTCCATGAGCAGAGGCCAGAGTCGCAGGTCTGAGGGTAAGGGATATCAGGGGATCTTGGGTTCTGTTCACCTGTGTTCTGCTGCCGTAGGCTTCGGGAAGAGAAGGCCTCTTACCTGGTCACAAGTGTGCAAAGCTGTCAGCAGCATGAGAGCCCCGGTACTAGGCATATATAGGTCTCCAAAGTTTGTGTTAATCAACTTGGATTTCAAGAACCTGGAAGCAAAAAGAAACATTCCAGCTCGCTAGCTTGACGTCTGTATCATCACACTTCATAGCTACACATTCAGATAGGTGGGAAAACCTCAAAAACTCTGGGCCTTCTACTCCAGTCAATCCTTTATTTGGTCCAAATGCAAAGCTCTTTGAGACCTTAGGTAAGGTGGGGGTGAGAAAGAGGAAAGCACAGGTGAAATCCTTCCCTTTTTCACCAACAGCCTGTTTTCACCGCAAGCTACTAAGTAACCACACTGCGAAGGGCACGGGTGGCTTGTAGCCCTAGACTGCAATTCCTGTCTATCCCACATCTTGATTAAGCAGGAATCCCATGTGAGGGGCAGGGAGCTCAGACCCTGTGGCTGGACCCACTGGCGTGATGGATGCACCCACAGAGCCCAAGAGTGGGGCCAGGGTGTGGCCACGGGCTCTGCCCTCAGGCCTGAGTTCACATCCAAACTTTGTCGGACAGATCCCCTGTCGTCTCTGAGCCTGTCTTCCTCTGTAGCATGGGACCAACTTGGGCTTCAGTTGCCTCCGCAGATCCATGCACCCCTCCAACTGCTCCCTGCCCTGGAATTCGAGCCTCTGGTCCACAGCAGGGTTTCTTAGGCACAGTGCTATTGATAATTGATATTGGGCCAGGTGGTTCTTCGTTGCTGAGCAGGGATGTTCAGCAGCATCCCTGGCCCCTGCCCACTAGTAGTACCCCACCACCCTGTGACAACCCAAAATGAGGACCAGATGCAATCTACATTGAGAATGCCTGGCGGGAGGGAGGGGAAGAAGGGGAGGGAGTGGAGGCTGTCCCCGGGTTCCTCCCCGCACCTTGGCTGGCTGTGTTTGGGCCTGAAGGTGCTGACACCCTGCTGCTGACAGCCCCACTGCTGTTCACCTCATGACCCCCAAGTCCCAGTCTGTGCCTTTGTGAGTAGTCCCTAGTAAATAAACCTCCTTGAGTTATCCTGGGTTTGTCTGTTTCCAGGTGATTCTGACCTGTATCACACTCCGTCTATCAGGGTGCTAAATAAAACAGTAAATGAAGTGACAGAGCTTCACACACGGCACTCAGGACAGTGGAGCTCTGGTTATTGGTCAGTGCATGGGGCTCATGGAAGGGCACTGCCTGGGTGTGGGGTGGGTGTGTAAGGGGGAAGGAAGGGGAAGCTGTTCTTGCGGCTCCCCCGCTCTGTACCTCTCTGTCAGGTAGCTGATGAAGTCCGGATGCAGCAGCTTGAATTTCCTGGCAGAGGCTTCTGGTCCGAAATAGGTGTGAGGCCTAGGACCCGTGATGGAAGTGGACAGAGCGCCCAGAGCCGTCGTATTGCAAGGAGGAGATGGGGGGGAGGGTCAGGGTGCCGGAGTAGCCGCGGTACCCTGAGCGGTAGGCGCGGGGCTGGGAGTAGTAGGGGGAGAAGGGGGTGTAGAAGGTGGCAGGCAGCGAGGTGGGGACCACGTGCGGCTTCCCGCTCACCAGGACCTCGATGGGCGGAGTGTAGGAGAGAGAGGAGGGGGGCGTGAACAGAGCGGGGGGAGTTGGGAAGGGGCAGTGAAACTGGGGTTGGGGGGGGGGGGGGGGAAGGAGAGGTAAGTAGAGCGAGTCAGGAGGGGGTGAGGGCTTCTGGGTGGGGCAGGGACAGGGACAGGCAAAGCATGGGTTTTGGGGAAGTGGTGCTGTGGGGGGCTGGAAAAAGGGGGGCTCCTTCAGAAAGCGGGACACATAGGGAGTGATATAGGATGGGATGCTCCGAGTTGGCCCAATATAGGAAGATGAGGTGGCGGGGCTGTACAAGGGAGACCTGGGCACAGTGGGGGTTAGGGAAGGGTTTCTAGAGAGGGATTTGAGCCCAGACTGGGAGGGAGATTTGGAGGTGGGTGGAGTGGAGGTTTGGGCGGCCCCTCGGGGCACATGTTGCACTTGAGGACTAGGGTTCAGGGAGGAAGCCCGGGAAGAGGGCTGTGAGGGGTTTGGGGTGGGAGGGTGGGAGGGGGGCCGGGAGGGAGTGCCCCGAGTAGGGGAAGGGGCTGAGCCTCCGGAGCTCTCGTGGGGCTGCTGGCCTGGAGGGTTGACAATGTTGTTGGAACGGGACTGGGAGGGAGACTGGGTAGGGGACGGATTAGGGGTGTGGGAGGGGGAGCTCATTGGTGCTGGGGTGGTAGAGGTCCACCCGATGTCTCTGAGGCAGCCCCGGAGAGCCCAGGCCCAGCGTGTCACAAAGCCCAGGTTAGACCAGCAGTGGGAGCAATTGTGTCATCACCGGGGCGGGGGCAGGGTGGGCCTGGCTTTAGAGCCCCTATCCATAAGGACCACCTGTAAAGCTGCTCTGTGGGGGATGGGCAAGATGCCCTCATGGAGACCCCTGAGACAGGAGGGCTGATTGTCTGGGCCACAGCAGCGGACTCGATTTCTAGGGACCTGATCTCAGGGACAGGAAATTGTCTCAGAATCCCCAGGAGGAGGTTCAGATGAGGGTCAGCATGTGGCTCAAGAGAGCTGGCCCCAGGCCTGCTGTGCAGGAAGGTGGGAGAGAAGACAAAGAGCCTATTGTTTCTGTCTTTCAGGAGGCTGGGCCTCAAGCCTGGTCTCCCATTTCATGGGCAGGGCCCTGGGAAGGATACCCACCAGGAGGAGTGGCACGGACTGGCCCTGACTCACAGTGTGCTCAGTGGGACAGCAGACCTGGCCCAGCCTTCGACCTGGAGAGGCTGGGCTGGGCAGGGAGAGAGCAACCTGAAGCCGAGGAGCCTGGCGTGCTCGCCCCATTCAGAAAAGCTGCCTCTCCCGCCCCCAGAGGGCCACTGGGGACTCAGAGCGTCATCTGGGCTTTCCAGGGGTAGACAAAAGGTAGAATTTCCCAGTGCTGAGTTATGTGAATAATTGGGGATGATTAAATTCTTAGGACTTTTCTTGCTGCCCTTCCCCTACCTCCTCCCCCATCAGGGAGTCGACCATGGCACCCCTGCCCCCCGGCATGCCCCACACCACCACTGCCCGGTGGCTCACCTGTCCCCTTTATCTAGGCCCTCAGGGACAGGCACGCCCAGAATGGCCGATCTCAGCATCACATAGTCGCGGATGTCTGAGGGGATGAAGATATATTGCAGGTCCTGTCGGAATAGAGACAAGGAGCCCAGAGGGGAAACAGGCCAGGTTTAGCTCCTGCTTGCTGTGGATGGCCCTCCATGCCGCCTGAGCCGACTGGAGAATTTCTCTTAAATGCCTTTCATTCCCACCCGGAGGTACTGTGCTGGTTTCAGTGTAGGTCCACGAATCCTCTGATGCTCCTTCAGGAGGTGACACCTAATTGCCATCCCCTGGAGTATAGGCTGGACTTAACACTCATGCACTTTTCTAATAGAGAGGAAAGTGGGCCGGGCGCGATGGCTCACGCCTGTAATCCCAGCACTTTGGGAGGCCGAGGTGGGCGGATCACTTGAGCTCAGGAGTTCGAGACCAGCCTGGCAAACATGCCAAAACCCCTTCTCCACTAAAAATACAAAACTTAGCCAGGTGTAGTGGCACATGCCTGTAATCCCAACTACTCAGGAGGCTGAGGCAGGAGGATCGCTTGAATCCAGGAGGCGGAGGTTGCAGTGAGCTGAGATACATCATTGCACTCCAGCCTGGGTGATAGAGTGAGACTTTGTCTCAAAAACAAAAAAGGCCGGGCAAAGTGGCTCATGCCTGTAATCCCAGCACTTTGGGAGATCGATGTGGGCAGATCACTCGAGGTGGAGAGTTCGAGACCAACCTGATCAACATGGTGAAACCCCATCTCTACTAAAAATACAAAAATTAGCTGAGAGTGGTGGTGCATGCCTGTAGTCCCAGCTACTCGGGATGCTGAGGCAGGAGAATTGCTTGGACCCAGGAGGCAGAGGTTGGGAAGCGGAGGTTGCAGTGGGCTGAGATCGCACCATTGCACTCCAGCTTGGGCAACAAGAGCGAGACTCCATCTCAAAAAAAAGAAACTAAAGCTGCCCCATTTTGTTCTACTTCACAAGAGAGGTTCTAGTGTGAGGACTCAGTGTGGCGTAGACACTATGGGAGGACACTCCTTAAGCCCCTGGTCAAGGGAGGAAGCTTCTAAAAACCCAGCTCAGACCCCTCCAGCACCGCAGGTCTTCTTTTCCTGGGATCCCCCTAACCCTGCATGTGACACCCGCAGCCCTGAGGAGGGAGGCTTTCACTTACAGCCCCTGGGTGTGGGTGGAGGAACCTGGAGACCAGCAGGCAGGACCAGATGCTGGCTCCCATGTACTGACTGTGACCTGGGGCACCGTCCCTTGTGTCCCTGAGCCTCAGTTTCCAACACGGGACTGTTGTGAGATTTTGAGAGGTCACACATCATTCTTCCAGGGGCCAGTGTGCGTAAATGGAAACCACCCTGGTGCTGGGGTCAGAGGGGCCTAGGTTCTGACGGTCCCAGCTGGGTGACTTGGACATGTTCCTGAACTTCTCAGCATCTCAGCTTTGTCATCTGGAAATGGGTATAATGGTCCCTCTCAGGGCTGCTGTGGTGGCCATGTGTGTGACCTGTAACATGCTGGGAACAGAGGAGGAGCTCCATAAATCCCCTTCCCCTGGGATTCGCTAGGACAGGCTGAGCTCCCCAAAGAATGCCAGCTCTGGGGGGTGGGCACTCTGGGTTCAAATCCTGACCCCACTGCTGCCTCACTGAATGAAAGGCGCCAGGCTTTTATCCCCTGTCCAGTAAACCACGGGTTGACATGGTCTCTGTAGAGCACCTGGCAAGTCACGAGCATTGGGTCGATGCTAGCCATTCGTGTCCCACACTCCGGAAGAGTCCTGTGCTGCCTGAATCAGCCAGCAGTCCAAGACGGGATCCTCCCTCACCATCAGTGGCCGTCCTGTGCGGCCAGAGTCCTGGCACACCCTCTGCATCCACTGGACCAGGCCCCCCATGGAGGGGACTCCAGGAACAATGGTGCCATTGTCAACCACAGTGGCAGCCCGCCAAAGGCCTCACCTGTCCTTGTGGCACGGAGGAGAAGCCCAGGCTCCTGTAGGAGATGAGGGAGTTCTTCATCGTGTTCACAGTGAAACCGTAGAAAGAAGTCTTGGTGCCCACATCGCGCTCGAAGCCTTTGATCACAGCTCCGTTGAGTCTGGTCGGCACAGAGGCCCATCAGGCTCTGCGGTTACCCCAGGCTGTCTGTTCTACTTCCATCTCCACGGTTCTGCCTGGCCTGTCCCCCTGCCTCTGTATGACCACTTCTTCTGCCCATGGCAGTACAAGTGCCCAGTTGCCAGCCAGACCCCCACTCCTCCAGACCTCAAGGGGTGATGCCTGTGAGTAGAGCTGGTCCTGGCAGCTCCTTCCTCCTGGGTCCCCTGCACAGGCACCCACGCTCCATCCTCAGGGCCTACTGTTTGTGTTTGCCTTGTCTACTCCCGTGTGCCCGTCACAACTGCTGAGCTGCCCAGGCCACTGCTGCCATGGCCCCTGGCCCCTGGGGGAGATACCCCCCACCCTCTGGGCAGCTCTCTCTCCCACCCCTCCCCAGCCCCTGCCCATCATACCTGAACACATAGTCATGGGCATCGATGTTGGGACCCTGACGGGACCCATTCAGAATGCCTCCGTTGCCCACCACAGCACACCGGATACACTTGGGAGGGGGCTCCCTGGGCCGGGCAAATAGCTTGGTGCTCTCTGAGCCATTCAGAAGGCTCAGGGTGGAGGCGATGGCTGTGGGTATGGATGGGGGCAGCCATGAAGAGGGCTGGCATCAGGGGCACCTGGGACCTTCCATAGGCTGGTTCTGGTGCCCTACCTCCCCTGAGGCCTGACCCAGCCCCTCCCCAGAAGCACAGAGGGTGGGAGGGGAAGGAGATGTCTGTAGGGGGAGAGAACTGAAAAGCTGACAGTGGAAGAGGGGGCTTGGGGCCTTCACTTGTCCTAAGAACCCGAATAACTTATCCTCTCAAGACTGTATTCCTAGAGAAGTGTGCCCAGGGCTTAAAAACAAAAAAAAAAAGCCAGGTGAGGTGTCTCATGCCTGTAATCCCAGCACTTTGGGAGGGTGAGGCAGGTGAATCACTTGAGGTCAGGAGTTCGAGACCAGCCTGGGCAACATGGTGAAACCCGGTCTCTTCTAAAAATACAAAAATTAGTTTGGCATGGTGGCGGGCACCTATCATCCCAGCTACTTGGGAGGCTGAGGCACTAGAATCGCCCGAACCTGAGAGGCAGAGGTTGCAGTGAGCTGAGGTTGCGCCATTGCAACCTCAATGAGACTCCATCTCAAAAAAAAGAAGAAAAAAGGCTGTGTATTGCAAAAGAAAAGAACTGGAAGCCGGTGGGGGTTGGGGAGCAGGTGTGATGTAGGGGGGCTCTGGGCCTGCAGTGTGGCGGGTCCTGCAGCAGCAACTGTGAGGGAGGTGGTTTGAGGCCCTCCCAGCCTGTCCTTGGCCACCAGTGGACGCTGCAGCCTTTCTTGCCAAAGAGGCCCCAGGACGGTGAGGGCCCAGCAGGGCAGCCCCAGCCCCCTCACGGACCCCTGGGTGCTTGGATGGAGGAGGAAGGTGAGGCAGGAGCTGCAGAGCTGGGGCTTCTGGGAGGAGAGGGGGGTCAGGGAGGCCTGGTCTACCTCAGGGCCAAGAGCGGGAAGCTGAGGCAGAAGGCAGGTGAGAGACATGGGTGCAGGTTACCTTGGCGAGAGAGCCCCCGCCAGCCATACGGGGCTTTGTGTTGGCTCAGGCGGTCCCAGAGCTCTGGGGTGAAGAGGTCCCCCCACAGCAGCACTGGAATAGAGAGATTGAACAGGCCACAGAAGTGGGGGTCCCGCTGAATGGCCAGGCGAAGCAGGTGTCGGCAGTCCTGGGCCTGTGGGTGAGAAGGTAGGGGCTGGGGTGGGTGGGACCCCGCTGACTCTGCAGGGAAGCTGGGAGTTGTGAGGGAAGGCCTGCCCTGTCCCCTCCAGATCGGGGCCATCCTTGCATTTTTGAACTGAGCTGGCTGCTGGAGCGTCTGCGAACTTTCTGGATTTAGTCTGCCTAGCTTGTCTTCTCCAGAGGCCACGTCCCCTTGGCCTGATGGCTCTGGCCTCATACTCCTTCACCTCACACTTGAGCAAATTCTGGGGCATTTTCTGATGCACGGGTCTGACCTGCCTGCCCTTTGGCGGAGGAGTTCCAGCCTGGGCTGAGCGGAAGGTGTCCCCCTGCATGCAAAGCCTAACTCTGCTGGTACACCATGGTTTGTGTGTGAACAGGCTGCCAGGAAGATCTGTGATGGTCTTTCTTCCTAGTGGTGCCATTAGGGAGTAGCAGTGTCCCCCCAGAATTCATTACCCCCACCCTGGGAATGTGTCCGTAGTTGGAACTAGGAGATGGAATTAATTAGGAGGAGATCACACAGGGTGAGGTCGGGCCGAACTAGTATCCTCATAAGGAGCCCAAGTGATGATGAAGCAGAGATCTGTGTGATGCAGCCACAAGCCAAGGAGCCTCGGGAGCCTCCGGAGCTGCAGAAAGGCAGGGGAGGCTTTCTTCAAGGCTTCGGAGGGAGCGTGGCCCTGCCAGCACCTCGATTCTGGGCTTCTGGGCTCCAGAACTGTGACGATTCCATTTCTGTGGATCGAAGCCCCCCAGGCTGTGTTCCTTTGTTCCAGCAGCCACGGGGAAGGAACATAGCACCTCCGTACTCATGGGCCTTGAGGGAGGGTGAGGTCAGGAAACAGGCCCAGCCTTGTCTGCTGTGCACAATCTCCTGCGCACAACCTCAAAAGGTCAGAATCGCACACAGTCATGGCCTGGGTGGCCCTTCTATTACTCCTGAATGGGGCTCTTTGTTAAGCCATTGGTTTGATCAAAGGACAAAGCAGGAAATAGCTGTATAGTCATTTCTGCTATAATGCAACTTATGAGTGGCTAAATATCACCATGCTATGCAAAGCTATGCAATCATGACCATGGGGCAGCTGGGCATGGGGGTGCACCCCTGTAATGCCAGCTCTTTGGGAGGCTGAGGTGGGAGGATCGCTTGAGGCCAGGAGTTTCAAGATTAGCCTGGTCAACAGAGCGAGACCCCACGTCTGCAAAAAAAAATTTTTTTGCAGACGTGGGGTCTCGCTCTGTTGCCCAGGCTGGAGTGCAATGGCGTGAGCTGGACTCACTGCAACCTCTGCCTCCCGGGTTCAAGCGATTCTCCTGCCTCAGCCTCCTATAGCTGGGGCTATAGGCCTGTGCCACCATGCCGGGCTAATTTTGTATTTTTAGTAGAGACAGGGTTTCACCATGTTGGCCAGGCTGGTCTCAATCTCCTGACCTCATGATCCGCCCCCCTTGGCCTCCGGAAGTGCTGGGATTACAGGTGTGAACCACTGTGCCTGGACAAAAATTTTTTTTTAATTAGCCAGGCATGGCGACCCAGGCCTGTAGTCCCAGCTACCTGGGAAGCTAAGATGGAAGGATTGCTTGAGCCTGGGAGACTGAGGCTGCAGTGAGCTATGATCATACCACTTCACTCCAGCCTGGGTGACAGAGTGAGACCCCATCACAAAAACAAAACAAAACAAAACAAAACAAAATAAAAACAAAAAAAGAAACACCATGGGCTTATGAGAAAATGGGATGAGTGACATAACACTGAAAAACTGTCAGGAATGCATAGAACCAAAGATAAATATCAAAGAAACATCGTTTTACAGATGTCCCATGGTTAAGGAATGCTTGAGATTAATGTAGCAGTGGGTGTGGAAGTGTGTGTCGGAAGGGGGCAGCTCGTGTGATATTGTAAAACGGTGGGAAGAAGGTTGTCTGGAACCAGAGGGAGCTGTGCCGACAGGCTCACTAGGGCGGGTGAACCCGCAACATGCTTGGTGAAGCTGATGGAGATCTCACGTGTGCCTGTCTGTGCTTTTTGTGTATTCCTACATGGCTCTGCTGAGTTGGGTGTGGTTTCTGTGTAACCTAGAGTTTTCACTGACAAAATCACGCAAAAGAAAATCCACAGCGGGGCGCGGTAGCTCATGCCTGTAATCCCAGCACTTTGGGATGCTAAAGATGGGCAGATCACCTGAGGTCAGGCGTTCGAGACCAGCCTGTCCAACACGGTGAAACCCTGTCTCTACTAAAAATACAAAAATTAGCTAGGTGTGGTGGCACACACCTGTAGTCCAAGCTACTAGGGAGGCTGAGGCAGGAGAATCACTTGAACCTGGGAGGCAGAGGTTGCAGTGAGATGAGACAGTGCACCTGCATTCCAGCCTGGGTGACAGAGCTAGACTCCGTCTCAAAAGAAAAAAAAAAAGTTACAATTAAGAAGGCAAAAACGGCTGGGCGCGGTGGCTCAAGCCTGTAATCCCAGCACTTTGGGAGGCTGAGGCGGGTGGATCACGAGGTCAAGAGATCGAGACCATCCTGGTCAACATGGTGAAACCCCATCTCTACTAAAAATACAAAACATTAGCTGGGCATGGTGGCGCGTGCCTGTAATCCCAGCTACTCAGGAGGTTGAGGCAGGAGAATTGCCTGAACCCAGGAGGCGGAGGTTGCAGTGAGCCGAGATCGCGCCATTGCACTCCAGCCTGGGTAACAAGAGCGAAACTCCGTCTCAAAAAAAAGAAGGCAAAAACGTACAATAGAATAAAATGAGGAAATGAGGGAAGGAGAAGTAAAGAAAGGAAAATAAGACAATGTGAAGTAAGTGCAGGAAAAAACGTGTCACAAAGTGGGAGACATGGGCCATACATCTGGCTCTGAGCTTCCCAGTGGTCGGAGCTAAGAAGGAAACTTTGCCACCACAACCAGGGGATACAAGCTGCACCTAGCAGTTTTTGCCTTCTCATATGTGTCCAAAAGCCACCTCAAATCCTTTGTTTTAGACCAGGTGGGGACATATGTCAGTTAGCATCAAACAGCTCAAGGGTCAAGTGGAAAAGACTTTAGGAAGCTTCAAGATGACCTGGTCCAAGCACTCATAAGGTGCTTAAGGCCTCTCTTCAGCCTGCCAGCCAAGTGTTCATTGACCTCTGTTCTTTTTTTTTTTTGAGACGGAATCTCAGTCTCAGTCTGTTGCCCAGGCTGGAGTGCAATGGTGCGATCCCGGCTCACTGCAACCTCTGCCTCCCAGGTTCAAGCGATTCTCCTGCCCCATCCTCCTGAGTAGCTGGGACTAGAGGCTCGTGCCACCACACCCCACTAATTTTTGTATTTTTAGTAGAGACAGGGTTTTACCATGTTAGGCTACTCTTGAATTCCTGACCTCGTGATCCACCTGCCTTGGCCTCCCAAAGTCCTGGGATTACAGGCGACAGCCCCCACGCCCAGTTGGCCTCTGTTCTGAAGACAGGGCCCCCATCACCTGCCCAGGGCTACTTGCTGTGTCTCTGAACAGCTTGGTTGTCACTAAACTCTTGCATGCAGTGAACTTTGTCTCCACTAGGCCCCTGTCAGCGTGTCCCAGATTAGTCTCTTGGGCTTGGAAAACACCTCTTAAGCCTGTGTTAATCCAGAACAACACAGTCACCATTCTGCTTAACGGCAGCACGTGGAGCCGGGGGGCGGCGGGGGTGGAGGGAGGGGTGAGGGAGGCTGTATTGTGCATTGGTTCTGAGCCAGGTTCTAGACAAGAGGCTCAAACCCAGTACTGCCTCTTACTACCTAAGTGAGGTACTTAACTTCTTGGGGCCTCATTTTACCCATTTGCAAGGGCCACATTCCAGGGCGGCTGTGATGCTTCAATGAGAGAACGCAGGTAAAGTCCCAGAATCAACGCTGGCAACGCTGTCTGCTACTTATGGTTATGAGGCAGGAACCTGAAGTTTCTCAAACCTTCTGGACAAGCAAGTGCATCTTTCCAGAGCCTGGAGTTTGCTCCGGGGTGAGCAGTTTAAATGTGATTTTTATAGGAAGTAGGTATTTTGAAGAGTAGAGTATAAAATTCACAGGACTGGCCAGGCGTGGTAGCTCACATCTGTAATCCCAGCACTTTGAGAGGCCGAGGCGGGCAGATCACTGAGATCAGGAATTCGAGACCAACCTGACCAACATGGAGAAACCCTATCTCTACTAAAAATACAAAAAAATTAGCATGGCGTGGTGGCGCATGCCTGTAATCCCAGCTACTCAGGAGGCTGAAGCAGGAGAATCACTTGAACCCAGGAGGCAGAGGTTGCAATGAGCCGAGATCATGTCACTGCACTCCAGCCTGGGCAATAAGAGCGAAACTCCAGCTCAAAAATAAATAAATAAAAATAATAAAATAAAATTCACAGGACTATTTAAGATACAATCTTAAGACTCCCAAAAACTGTTCAGCTGTCTCTACCCCAGGAGTATGTATTTATTCATCCTTCCCTGCTGTGGGGCACAGGAAAACCTATTTGTCAGGTCTGAGAGGCCCTGAAGAGACGAAGCTCAGCTCTGTACTTGGGGCATTCCCAAGAGCTCCAGCCTGGCAATCTCATGAGAATGTTCCTGTTCGTTCTTCTTCCCTCTGCCCCACTAATTTGAGGGTGCTCAAAACTGCCACAGTACCTTTCTTATCCAAGAATTTGATGCCTTGGGTTGAAAGAATGCTTGAAATGGTGTGGTGTCCCTGGGGGAAAAAGCAGAAAAAAAGCAGGGCTCAGCAGCACAGACCTACCCCTTGGAAGCTTTTGGACTGACTGACTCCCTTAGCTCTAGGGGCTGACAAATCCGCCTGTGCCCCACGTGGTGGCTCACACCTGTAATCCCAGTACTTTGGGAGGCTGAGGTGGGAGGATTGCTTGGGACCAGGGGTTGGAGACCAACTTGGGCAACATAGTGAGACCCCATGTCTACAAAAATAAAAAAATTAGCCAGGTGTGGTGGAGCATACATGCCCTCTGGCCTTTCTGTCTTCCACTATGAGGATGCAGCAAGAAGGCCCTCTCCAGACATAGACCCTATGACCTGGGACCTCCCAGCCTCCAGAACCATAGGAGATAAATCTCTGTTTTTTGTAAATGATCCAACTCAGGTGTTCTGTGATAGCAGCACAAGACAGACTCAGACAGCTCTGAAGCCTTACTCCCTGGGTTTGCAACCTGACTCCACCACTTGGCTGCTGTGTGATCTTGGGCAGTTGCTGAACTCAGAACCTCAGCCTCTGCATCTGTATAATAATGATAATCATACTGAGCTCCTTCAATTGTTAGGAGGGTTCAAACAGAGAGTGTATGTTGGCACACATAAAAAGTGTCCTCTAAATGTTAGCTCTTGTTACCTAAAGGAGGAAGAGAAAGGATCTTACTGTGTCAGCCTCTATTACTAGTGTCTCTTCTAGAGGGCAGTAAGGGGACAGTGTTACTGTCTCCTCCCAGTTCCCAATTCCCAGGCACTAGGTGGGCCCTGAATCGGGGCAGAAGGAAAACATGAAGGAAGGAACAGGGATCCTTACCCTTTCAAAAGGGTGGCCAGGGCCGGGCGCGGTGGCTCATGCCTGTAATCCCAGCACTTTGGGAGGCCGAGGTGGGTGGATCACGAGGTCAAGAGATCGAGACCATCCTGGTCAACATGGTGAAACCCCGTCTCTACTAAAAATACAAAAAAAATCAGCTGGGCATGGTGGTGCGTGCCTGTAATCCCAGCTACTCAGGAGGTTGAGGCAGGAGAATTGCCTGAACCCAGGAGGCGGAGGTTGCGGTGAGCCGAGATTGTGCCATTGCACTCCAGCCTGGGTAACAAGAGTGAAACTCCGTCTCAAAAAAAAAAAAAAAAACAAAACAAAAGTGTGGCCAGGCTTCTCTCAGACCCCTCCCTTCACTCCAGCAGCCACAGGGAGCAGGTGGAGGGGACTCTGGGTTGCTAGTTTGTGAGAGAAACAAAGGCCTATTGTTACGTGCTTCCAGGTGGCAGCTGAGCCACAAGGGAACTCAGGATCTGCCTTTCTGTGGTTTCTGGGTTTCCTACAAGATACTGGAGGCACGGCCTAGAGAGAGCAGGGTTGATTCCTTCCCCCCTCCCTCCGTTTCTCCCTCGGACTGTCCACCTGTCCATCCACGTAATCCCATAGTTCCTGCTCATGAGTGCAATATGACCCCCTCTGAGAAGGAACAGGACGGTGGTGCCCAGCCTAGGTTGCCTATGAGAACCCCCAGGGTGGTTTGGAAAACCCCATTGCTCAGCCCCTACTCCTGAGATTCTCATCTGATTGCTCTGGGGTGGGGAGTGGGCACTGGTGAGTCCAATCCCTGCCTTCCCATCCCAACCAGCTGATTCTAATGTGCAGCCAGGCTCGAGAGCCTGGCGGAGGAGCTGCAGAACAGGGCAGAGCTGAGACGGGACGGGTAGAGCTATAAGGGAGGGGATGGGGAACCACCAAAGTGCAGTTTTTCTGCCCTGAACTCCCCACCCTCAGGGCAGCCTGGTTCGACTCCAGAGCATCCCTGGTGCCCAGCAACTTCTCCCAGCCCCGCTACCATTGAGCCTTCCAGATTCTCCCTCTCAGGAATCCATGTGCCTGGGGCAGCTGGGAGTGGGTAGGAAGGGGCCAGCCTGCACATGCCCTTCTGGGAGGTTTTGCCAGCCTCAGAAGATGTACGGACCATGTGCTGCCTTTTTCTACAAGCTAATTTTACTCACAACTTAGATAATATTCTTTTTTTGAGATGGTGTCTTACTTTGTCACTCAGGCTGGAGTGCAGTGGCGGGGACTTGGCTCACTGCAGCCTCGACCTCCTGGGCTCAAGTGATCCTCCCATCTCAGCCCCCTAAGTAGCGGGGGCTACAGGCATGCACCACCATGCCTGGCTTTTGTTTTTGTTTTTGTTTTTGTTTTGTATTTTTAGTAGAAACGGGGTTTTACCATGTTGCCCAGGCTGGTCTCAAACTCCTGGGCTCAAGCAATCTGCCTGCCTCAGTCTCCCACAGTGCTACAGGCACGAGCACCGTGCCTGCCTTCATATTCTAATAGCCCTAAAATGTTCTCTTTATAAAAACATAACGTTGACAGTAACTGACAGCCCTATGTTGATTCGCACTCTGTCTTCTGTTAAGCAACAACAACATTTAATAGAAATCTTCATGTCTGGGACTCACTGAGCCAGATTCTGCTGTGAGGAAATTCCCAGACTGGATTCCACTCTGATCTGCACAAAGAGCCCCTCCTTGGGCTCCGTAGATCCTTCCCAGCTGCCCATCTTCCTGGACTCTCCCTTATAGCCAGGCATGTCCATTTCAGTCCTTAGCTGGAGAAGCTCATGCAGCCTGCTGGCTCTGCCCAGAATGCCATCCACCTCCCACTCTTTCCCCCAGACTAAATATCCACCTCCCACAGCAAGGCTGAGTCCTGACCTGCCCCGCACTGGGTTTATGCTACAGTGCAAATACAGAGAAACAGCAGGAAAGGGCCAGGTGCTTGAGTCCTACTACTTTTAGAAAAGAGGAAAGATCTTTAAAAAAAAAAAAAAAATGTTGCAGTATAATAGAAGTATAGTAAACTGCATACTTAAAGTTGTATTAGATATCTTGAAATAATTTTTTTTTTGAGACCGTTTTGCTCTTGTTGCCCAGGCTGGAGTGGAATGGCACCATCTTGGCTCACTGCAACCTCTGCCTCCCAGGTTCAAGCAATTATCCTGCCTCAGCCTCCCGAGTAGCTGGGATTACAGGCGTGTGCCACCACACCCAGCTAATTTTGTATTTGTAGTAGAGGCGGGGTTTCTCCATGTTGGTCAGGCTGGTCTTAAACTCCTGACCCCAGGTGATCCACCTGATTTGGCCTCCCAAAGTGCTGGGATTACAGGCGTGAGCCACCGTGCCCAGCCAAAATAATTAATTTGTGTGTGTGTTAAGATGGAGTCTCTGTCACCCAGGCTGGAGTGCAATGGTGCAGTTTCAGCTCTGCAACCTCTGCCTCCCTAGTTCAAGAGATTCTTCTGCCTCAGCATCCTAAGCACCTGGGACTACAGGTACACACCACCATGTCCAGCTAACTTTTTGTATTTTTAGTAGAGACAGGGTTTCACCATATTGGCCAGGCTGGTCTCAATCTCCTGACCTCATAATCTGCCTACCTCTGCCTCCCAAAGTGCTGGGATTACAGGTGTGAACCACTGCACTCGGCCTAATTTGTGTTTTTTAAAAAATGTATTACTAGGGAGGCTGAGGTGGGAGAATCACTTGAGCTTGGAGGTGGAGGTTACAGTAAGCCAAGATAGAGCCACTGTATTCCAGCCTGGGCAACAGAGTGAGACTGTCCCCCAGAATTATTCTTATAAGAAAAGTAATTTATTTCTTACAGTTATGGGGGCTAAGTCCAAGGCTGAGGAGCCACATTTGGTGAATTTTTGTTTTAATTTCGTCTGCTCTAGTGGAGCAGGGTTCCCCCATAGGCAGTGGTCCAGAGCAGCCAGAGGGCTTTGGTGTTGGTGGGGCAGGAAGTCACATGCGGAGGGGGCTGAGCTGCTAGATCAGGTCTCTTCCTCTCTGTAAATTTATGATAAATCAATACATACATGCAAATGTGCAATAATCAAACAAGCTAATTAGTATATTCATCACCTCGAATTTTTAAAATTATTTTTTGAGACAGGACCTCACTGTATTGCCCAGGCTGGAGTGCAGTGGCACAATCACAGCTCACTGCAGCCTCGACCTCCCGGGCTCAAGGGATCCTCCTGCCAGCTCCCTGAATAGATGGGACCACATGCATGCACCACCATGCCAGGATAATTTTTGTATTTTTGGTAGAGATGGGGTTTCCCCATGTTGCCTAGGCTCACATCAAACATATATTATTTCTTTGCATTGAGATACTTTGTGTTGTAAACATCTTTACATAAAAGTGACAAAGATTCCTTTTCTTTTCTTATGAGACAGGGTCTCGCTGGGTCGCCCAGGCTGGAATGCAGTAGTGCAATCACAGCTTACAGCCTCGAATTTCTGGCCTCAACAATCCTCCCACCTCCGCCTCCCAGAGTGCTGGGACTACAGGCTTAAGTCACCGTGAGAGGCCAAGGATCCTCCTTCTTAAGGCCTTTAACCTGTGTCAGGTTTTGTAACCCTCATTACGCAATCCTGACTACAAGGAGATGTAGGAATTCCAGGTGTCGCCGCCAGAGCACCCTTTGCTCTTAAGAGCGCTGGACTCTTGATCACTGGCAAGCTGTTTCACATTCGTCTGCAACTTTTGCTGTGTCCTTTGACTTCATCTGTGGAGACCAGATACTTATTTTGTTTTCATCCCCTTAGGCCCCCAGCAGGTTGGTGGGGGGCGTGCAGATGGAAAAGCGCCAGGAAGGGAAAGGCTGGGGCTGGGGCTGGAGGCCTCTCCCTGAGGCTGCGGCGCCCTTCCCGCCTCCCAAACCCAGACTCCGCACGGCCCGGTCCGCCTTCCTCAAGTTTTGCTGCTTCATCAGTCCCTGGAACAACCACCTGCTAGAGGCCGGCTCCCACGTTCTCCTCGTGGGGCACCCAGGAGAGGAAAGTGCCCAGGGAGGAGTAGGGCGTGGAGCGCTGGAGGCGGCGCGGGGAGGAGAACGTGGATGGAGCCGGGAGTCGCCCCCTGATCGCCCCCGCGTCCGCCTCTTCGCTGATCGCGCCCGTCCTGGGCTTATCTAGACTCGGCGAGCAGAGGCTGGGAGAAGGGAGCGGGCGCTGGTAGGGCAGAGACCGCAGCGGGCGGGGAAGGCAACTGGCCGCGGCCCGGCTGAGGGTCCCCGGGAAGTTGGAAACCGGACACTTGGGTCCCTGCCCCAAAAGCCAAATCAGACGTTACTGAGGGAGCACTCCCGGGAAAAAAGTGTAGTTTTTCTCTGCTTCGCGGACCCAGCCAGATTTCGACAATAGAAAGTGTACTAATCAGGTCGGGGGGGGGACTTTACCAACAAGGGCGACCGGGAAGGGTCGCCAGTGCGCAGGGGGCGAGGGCCCCCTTGGACTCAGGCAAAGGCCGCGGGGTGCGGGCAGCGCGAGGTTTAGGCTGGGAGGGGGTTCTGGGAACAAAGGGCCACGGCCCGAGTCCTCGCTGTGAGCCGCCCCAGAAGGGTCCACGCGGAGGTTGGGCTGAGGGCTGCGGGCCGCCAGGGAGCCCTGGGCTAGGTGCCCTCCCCGCGCCCTGGTCGCCCCTGCGCCTTCCCGCTCTGCGCGCCGCAGCCCCTACCTGGCTCCAGCCGCGGGCCCCGGGTACTGCTGCACCGCCGAGAAGTACAGGGCAAAGAGGAGCCCCGAGCAGGCAGCCGCGAGCAGGAGCAGCAGCCAGAAGAACGGCCCGCGCGGGAGCCCCATACAGCCCCGGCCCGCGAGCGCCCGGTCCGCAGCCGTCCCGGGCAGAGCGCAGAGGCCCTAGTGGGCCAGGTGGGACTTGCGGAGGCGGTTGCCCTGCCCTGCCCCGCCCTGCCCGCCCGGTGCCCGCGGCGCCTCCCCCCACCCCCGGCAGCTCCCTCTTGGCCCCGGCCGGGTGTCCAGACGCAGCTGCACCCTCGGAGGCTGGGCGGCGGGTGAGCACTACTTGGAATTTATGGTGTCAAGACTTCCATTTCAAATGGCAATACTCCCCTCACATCAAAGTCTCCTATCTACCCTCCTGGAGTAGTAGTAAGTCGAGCAGATTTTGCTCTACCTACAAGCTAAATGATGAGCCTGCCATAGTTCTGCGGATGCTGGTAGAAGACACAAGACCAATGGATCAGAAAAAAAGGACTTTATTACTCATGGCACAACAAGCAACATAGGCATCACGCTTGTGTCACTTCTGTTTACTCCTCAAGTCCCATGAGAGCCGAAGGGGCCCAGGTGGGTGTTACGCACACAGTCGGTTTGCAGCACAGCTGAGAAACCCTGAGATAAGAGAACCAGAATCTTTCATAATGGGCTTCAAGGAAACCTGCCCTTGTCTAAGAAGGAGACATTATCTTCCGTATGTTGGATGGTGAGGAAATCCGCCCTCTGCTCCAGAGGGAGGCACTTTATCTTCCAAGGCAGTCTGCTATACCAACGTTCTTGAACAGAGCCTGGAACAAAAGGGCAGTGAGTCCCTCTGCTCACAGCACGCCCACGCGCCCTCAGCTTATTGCTCCGGACTCTCCTCGTCCCAGGGAGAGCCAGCCTCTTCACTGTGGCCTCCCACTCTGTGGCAGCCCTTCCTGTCCCCTCTGCAAGGCCCTTATCACAGCCTATGAGCATGCCCCAAATAGCTCATCCTAAAAGGAAAACAAAACAAAGAAAAAACTGCGTTGAGCTGCCCCCTTCACAGCCACTCTCTTTTTCTTTCATCCAAGTTCTTGGTAGAGAGAAGTCTATTCTCTTTCCACTTCTTTTTTTTTTTTTTTTTGAGACGGAGTTTCGCTCTTGTTACCCAGGCTGGAGTGCAATGGCACGATCTCGGCTCACCGCAACCTCCGCCTCCCGGGTTCAGGCAATTCTCCTGCCTCAGCCTCCTGAGTAGCTGGGATTACAGGCACACGCCACCATGCCCAGCTAATTTTTTGTAGTTTTAGTAGAGACGGGGTTTCACCATGTTGACCAGGATGGTCTCGATCTCTTGACCTCGTGATCCACCCGCCTCGGCCTCCCAAACTGCTGGGATTATAGGCTTGAGCCACCGCGCCCGGCCCTCTTTTTCCACTTCTTTTTGCATCTGACTTACTTGCCTATCATGCCATCAAAATTGTACCCACGGAAGCCACTAGCAACCATCATCCTTCCAAAGGAAGCCTACATTTTCCAGTTCTGATCCTGCTGCATCTGAGCTCCAGATACCGCCAGCTTGTGACTCTTTGCTCTCACGGTTTCAACAACCAGCTTTCTGTTTGTGACTCCTGAATTGGTCTCCATCTGAGGCTCAGATCTGTATCAGCTGCACACCTATTCAGCTATTTTTAAAGGCCATCCCTGGAGACCTGTGTTACTTTTTTCTTTCTTTCTTTCTTCTTCTTCTTTTTTTTTTTTTTTCAGTCTGAATCTCACTCTGTTGTCCAGCCTGCAGTGCAGTGGTGCAATCATGACTCCTGCAGTCTTAAACTCCTGGGCTCAAGCGATCCTCCTGCCTTAGCCTCCCAAGTAGCCAGAAGTACAGGCACCCACCACTATACCTGGCTAATTTATTTTTATTTTTGCCTTCAGCCACTGTACCCGGCCTGGCCTATTTAATTAACTTAAAAAAAATGTCCTTAGGCATTTCAAATACAACCATAAAAAGAAGTGGAGAAACACATCTTATGCATGTAACAAAATGTCATATGTACCCCATAACTATGCACAAATATTATATTATGTATCAATAAGAAAAGGAAAGAAACAAGCAGGCCAGGCACGGTGTCTCATGCTTGTAATCCCAGCACTTTGGGAGGCCGAGGCGGGAGGATAACCTGAGGTCAGGAGTTTGAGACCAGCTTGGCCAACATGGTGAAACCTTTGTCTCTACTAAAAATACAAAAATTAGCTGGTCCTGGTGGCATGTGCCTGTAATCCCAGCTACTCAGGAGACTGAGGCAGGAGAATTGCTTGAACCTGGGAGGCAGAGATTGCAGTGAGCCGAGTTTGTGCACCGCACTCCAGCCTGGGCAACAGAGTGAGACTGTCTCAAAAACAAAACAAAACATTGCAAGAGATCAGGACTTCCAGCATGAGGAACTCTGCAGCCCCACTTTCCAGTGAAATGGAGAGAAAGTATAGAAAGACAACCACTTCAAGTCTGTGGAAATGATCTTAAGGGCATACAGCAAATGAACAAACATCTATCTGAGAAAATCTACTAGGCTGAGCACGATGGCTCATGCCTATAATCCCAGTATTTTGGGAAGCCAAGGCAAACAGATCACCTGAGGTAAGAAGTTCGAGACCAGCCTGATCAACATCGCAAAACCCTGTCTCTACTAAAAATACAAAAAATAGCCAGGCATGGTGGCATGTGCCTAGACACTTCTAAGTAACCAAAAAGTAAAATCAATTATTGCTAGCAAACATACATTACAAGACATACTAAAGGAATCTTCAGGCTGAAAGAAGATGGTAATTCAAATACACATGAGACAAAAAAACTCTGGTAAAAGAAATTCTGTAATTATAAAAAATGGTATTCATTGCAATATTCTCCCTACTTTTGTATATGTTTGAAATTTTCTCTAATAAAAACCTAAAGTTTTCTTTTTAGCTGAAATATGCTTCAGTAGATATTTTTAAACTATAAAGTTATTAACTTGAATCAAAGTCTTTAAAAGTATATATACATGCTTTTCACATAAGATGGACTATGGATTATGGATTTGCAAAACCAAGAGATTGAAACCTCAAGTACTCTATGTTCTAAAACAACCATGTGTTAGCATTTTGTAAAAACATATTTTTACTAAAATCAATTTATTTCTCAGTATCTGAAATGGCATGAATGTCAAGTAAGTTTCTAATCAAAATGTGCTAGACCTTCTAATGATGTATCAGAGGCTGGTTTTGTCATTTCAATCAAAACCATTTTTAGATGATTAATTATTTTATGAAAAAAGCAATGATGAAAATTGTTTCAGTTGTATTTCAAGAGTTTATAAAAAAAATTATGCATTGAATTGAAGCTGAGTAGAAACTGAGTTTGGAAAAAGAAAATACAGTAGATGACTTAATTTTGAATATGAAAGGGATATTCTAGATCAGTCAGAAAATGGATTATTAACACTTGTGGTTCACACAATTACAGCTTACTGCTTTTCAGGGTTTAAAAAGCTTCTTTTTAATTTTTTTCTATAGACTCATTCATGGGAAGATTTTCTTTTAACTTCTTGAAAATGTCAACATTTTGAAAAAAATGTTATTTTATTATAAATGAGAAACTGATTTATTTTTGGAGACGAAGTTTCCCTCTTGTTGCCCAGGCTGGAGCGCAGTGGCGCGATCTCCGCTCACTGCAACTTCTGCCTCTCAGGTTCAAGCAATTCTCTTGCCTCAGCTTCCCAAGTAGCTGGGATTACAGGTGCAAGCCATCATACCTGGCTATTTTTGTAGTTTTAGTAGAGATGGGGTTTCACCATATTGGCCAGGCTGGTTTCAAACTCCCTACCTCAGGTGATCCACCTGCCTTGGCCCCCCAAAGCGCTGGGATTACAGGTGTGAGCCACTGTGCCCAGCCAAACCATTTTTGTTTAATCTCATTTCTACATGGTTGTTAATCATGCCCAAGAGGACAGAGTTCGGGGAGCTTCTGGATAGCGGACATGTGGAGGTTCTGGGAGGGTGGTGTGCCCAGGAAGGACACGGAAGCTCCACGCCCCTTCCCCCATACCTCACCCTGTGCATGTCTTTATCTGTATCCTTTGTGACATCCTTTATAATAAACTGACAAACATAAGTGTTTCCTGCCTCAGTGAGCTGCTCTAGCAACTTAATTGAGCTTGAAGAGCGAGTCATGGCAACCCAGATTTATAGCCAGTTAGTAGCACAGGTAATACAACCCCTGGGGGTTGCGATAGGCATTGGAAGTGGGGAGGGAGCAGTCTTGTGGGACTGAGCGCTCTACCCATGCTCTGATGCTGTCTCCAGGCAGATGGCCTCCGAAGTGAACTGAATTAGAGGACACCCAGCTGGTGTCTGCTGCAGAACTGATTGCTTGCTTGTTGGTGGGAAGAGATCTGCACACATCTGGTCACGGAAGTCTTCTGTGTTGATTGTTGTTGTGTGAGAGCAGAGGAAAAACGTGTGCAGGAGATGTTCACATGTGTGGGAAAGTAGGGCAGGATAGGAGCCGGATCCTCATCTTCCCTGGGAGACATCAGGAGATAACGCCTAAAATCTAAAGCATAATTATGAATGCATGCATGTAATTTACAGGTATGGAGGTAAATGCCAAAGGCTCAGCTGGAAGATTTGAAAGTGGCCGACTGTGGGCAGATGAAATAGCAGGAGAGTAGCTGGGGACTACCGACTTTGAAAAACAAAATTCTTACTGGGAATTCACAAGTCGAATTTTGTCTTCAGGCCCGGCATCTAGAAAATAAACCCAAAATCTGATGCCTCTCATTCAAGGCTCCCAGTGAGCCGGACCTGGCTGCTGCTCTCGCGAGAGCCCTGCCTTATAGTTTCTGCAGCAGCTTCACCTACCATCTTGCAGGCCCCACCTGTGACTGCTGCTCTCTGGCCCCATTTCTGCTTCTGCATTCCTCTTTGCTTGGCTTGCTATTTCTTCCCCCCACCCTCCACCAGCCCCACCATCACCTTTTTCTCCTGCCTTCCTGTGGGTTCTTTTATTTTTAGCCTTCTGTTTTTGTTTTTTTGTTTGTTTGTTTGAGACGGGGTCACTCTGTTACCCAGGCTGGAGTGCAGTGGCAGGATCTCAGCTTACTGTAACCTCCGCCTTCCGGCTTCAAGCGATTCTCTTACCTCAACCTCCCAAGTAGCTGGGATTGCAGGTGTGTGCCACCATGCCTGGCTAAGTTTTGTATTTTTAGTAGAGACAGGGTTTCACCCTGTTGGCCAGGCTGGTCTCAAACTCCTGGCCTCAAGTGATCCA